CTGCAGGCTGCTTTAGTTTTACACTTTATTGGTGTCGGGATGTTGTGCAGGTGTTCAAATGCGCTTGGAGCTGAATACATGTTTTAAATGAGTGCAAATGAATACAGGTATGTTCTGAACAATTGGCAGTCCTTTTTTGGTACTCACACCAAAACTGAAGGTCACCTTTTAATTTCAAGCTTTAAACAAACCAACTCTTAATTTGTATTAGTGTCGTGTCAGAACGTGTGTGGTCACTTTTATTTGATCAATAATTAAGATGAAGGCTTACAACAAACTTCATAAACATCCAACTTATTGTTATATGTTCAGATATAATTGATAGATTTTTGTGTTTGCTAACTGACATTACTCCTTGATAGACAAAACAAATACTGTTTTTTGTTTATTTTTCAGATGTTCAGTTGTTATTGCTTACAGTAGCACGACCACTGAAAGGTTGTCTTAAAGCACATAAGCTTACACGTATACTTATGTGTTTAAAACTCCATCACTTAAAATGTCTTAGTCACGTAAAGTTATAACCAGCGAAAAACACGCATTTCCCACTCAGTGCATTCAACCAAACAATGCTTAAGAAAGCACACAAGTTCAACTTCTGTTCTGCTGATTTTACATTTTAAATGTCCCTCGATCAAACACTTTCCTGCCCATAGAAACCGGTTTAACACTAAACCCACACTGGTGCAGTTGTCTCTTTTGTCAACCAACTTCTTCCCACATATAATCACAACATCCTCTGCTCCACCAGTCAGAAGATGTTAAATCTGATTCCTCCCACTTGCAGCTGCCTTTCTCATTTGTGCGGCTCTTTGCTTTTTGTTCTTTCTTTATCATTAATCATGGGCGGTGTTGCCTAGCTGTGGCGCGGCACGCTGAGCAAATAGAAACGGGTTAAATGAGCAGAGAGAAGATCGCACCAGTGTGGGCTTGTTACTCACCGCGAGACGCTTTGTTTCTTTCCATCTTAATCACCTTAATACATAAACAGTTCCTACTGTAGTAACTTTTAACCCCCCCCCTCCGTGGTTACACAGGACCTGTATTCAGGAAACAGTGGAGGAATTACACAGATTACATCATGCAGAGTGTGTAGGCTGGGAAATGAAGACGTTATATATTCTGCATGTGTGTGTGAGGTGTGTCGCATACACACCGTCATCACACATAGGGTGATGTGGCTTGTGTCCAAGTAACTGCATTTACACTTTACTGGAAAAGTTTCTGAAACACACATTTACACACACAGAGAGCAGATTCTCCACCAATATAATTACTGAGCTGCCGACGCTCCCGCTGTGCCGTCGCCATGGCAACGCTGAAAACCCACCACTGCTGGGAGAGGAGGAGGAAGAGGAGACAAGGGGGAAGATGAGAGAGGAAGAGCAGAGGAGAGGAGAAGCAAAGCTAAAAGAGGGAGATTGGAGGTGTAGGATGGTGATGGAGAAGACAAAAAGGAGACGAAAGCAGAGGAGGAGGAGGAAGAGAGTAGGAGGAAGAGGAGAAGAGGAGACAAGGTACATGATGAGAAAGTAAGAGGAGTAAATAAATAGAGAGAAAATAGGAAATAAAGAAGACGAAAGCAGAGGAGGAGGAAGAGAGTAGGAGGAAGAGGAAGAGGAAGAGGAGAAGAGGAGACAAGGTACATGATGAGAAAGTAAGAGGAGTAAATAAATAGAGAGAAAATAGGAAACAAAGAAGACGATAGCGGAGGAGGTGGAGGAGGAGGAGGAAGAAGAAGAAGAACAGGAGGGAAGACGAGGGGGGGTTGAGAAAGAAAGGGCAGAGGAGAGGAGGAGGAGGATAATGGAAGAGGAGGAAGATTAGTTCCAGAGACAGTAAAGGGAAAAGGGACAGATAAAGAGAGAAAGAAAGAAAGCAAGGAGGGAGTAGGTGGTGTTTGAACTCCACTATTCAGAGATCTATTGAAGCTTTTCACCGCAGGCTTTGACTCGGTAGGAGTATGCACAGCATCCAAACCAGAAAGGGCAAGTGCACATCAAGAAAAACACTAACAAGTGGACTTTGGAGCTCTGTAGTGAGAGGTCATTCATTCTGTTGCTTAAACACACTTACCGGACTTTTGAAAGTGACATACTGTGGCATACTCCACGATTCATTTCAGGATGCGTAAACATATTTTAAAATGCAATTGTTGGACCCTCATGATTGATAGGGGAGTGGTTTCTAGATTGAAATCTCTATTTGAATTTCACTAGTGCTGTTTTGCACTTAAAAATATAGTACTTTTACCCCAATAAATGTAATTGGCAGTTATATCGGAAACATTGTAGTTTAAAAGTAACCTCTTGTGCTCATTTAGAGGGTAGAAAACCTTAATACAGTGCAGATAACAGCTTATTTTAACACCTCGAGTTAAGGTGCTGACCTTTTGCATCTCTGATGAATCAGGCTTTTTTAAATTTGGTAACTGGCCTAATTTTCCATAGACGTCACAGACTCTACATCCCTTTTCTCAGTCTCTGTTTTCTCTGCTTCCGGTAATTCACATTTTGTTTCATTTTCTATGCATCTAAGACGCACATTCTTTGAGAGTGCTTTGTCTTTAACACGACAAAGAATTATCCAAAAAGAATAATGTGGTGGGATTTGCTTTGTTTTGCCATATCTAAATGCTTTCAAACCACAATAAGAAGTTTAGATTGATGTATTGCCTTTTTTAGTGGACAAATCGTGTGTGTGTGTGTGTGTGTGAAAACGGAGCTTTAATGCCTGTGATCCTGTCTGCTTTTAGAAGATTAGGACTCACTCAAATGTTGCTCCATGACCTCTAAAAAAGAGTGTCCGTGTCATTCACCTTTTAGCGGTGATTACGTCAAATACCGCTGGGTCTTTTTTTAGGAGCTCCTACTTACACACTCACACAGGTACACACTTGTTTCACTATGAATACACAGTGTATTTATTCATATCTGACGAGGAATAATCAGTTAAAAATAATCCTCAGCGCTCAGACAGGCTGTAAACAAACCCTCGGTTGTATTTTTGTTAAGTAGGTTGCGCTTCAACAATAGGATTCACAGTGCAGTGGTTAACCCTAACCCTAATGAACATAATAGAAACATGTGGAAGGTAACACATATCAGCTTTAAGGTCAAGAAGAACAAACTAGTACACCACAATAGAAAACAATTTTAGCACCGAGCTTTCTTGAGTGTTTCGACCCCCTTTTGTACAAGTGAGTATGATTAAGGGTAATATTAACTTTACGACTTTTTACAGAAGAGAAGTCTTTCTTTTTGGACAAAAATGTGACGAGACAGCTTTGGAAAAGTGGTATACGACTGTTTGTTTTGATCCACACTAAAACATCATTTTCAGTAATCCACTGTGCTCACAACAGGAAGGACACATGGAACATGCTGAATCAGTTTGATTTCATTCCTGTTTAAATGTAGATTTTAAAGGTATATTCCATCAAAGATCACATGTACACTCTTGTCCAAAGTATATTTACCCCGCAAGTACTGTACTTCGGTATATATATTTATTCAGCCCAGGAGTTTATCACTTTAACTTTCAGCATGTTTGCCCTATAATCTTCAGACTTACTGTAAACTTCACACATTCACCTTCTGCTTTTGGTTTTACTTCCAAAAAAGTGGTTTCAATAAAAACGGTGGGTTTATTAACAAGCCATCCTCTGACCTCTCGTCTCACTTCCCTTAATGGACTTGTTGATCGCAGTTTGTCCATTCCTCTTGTCTCAGCGGTTATTATAAATGATCAAACCTAAAGGAAATACAAAAAAATAATACAAAATAAAATGCTGATTGTAAAATTAATAATTGCTGGCATCCTTCATTACTCCCACCAACAATAAGCATTCATCACAATGACTTGTCATCATAAGATAAGATGTTTGTTTATGTGTGTGTACAGTATGTAGGGAGACGTGTGGCGCAGTGGAGTGGTGCGTTGGTGTTCGGATCAGGGGAGCACAGGTTCAAACCCCACTGCAGTCAGCATGTCATTGTGTCCCTGAGACACTTCACCCCAAATTGCTCCTGTGGGGATTGTCCACAGTATTGAGTATGTAAGTCGCTTTGGATAAAAGCGTCTAACAAGTAACGTGTGTGTGTGTGTGTGTGTGTGTGTGTGTGTGTGTGTGTGTGTGTGTGTGTGTGTGTGTGTGTGTGTGTGTGTGTGTGTGTGTGTTCCCCTGTTATAGGTAGCATATGTCCAGTCACCATACGTCCTTTCAGTTTTTGCTGTCACCCACGCAATACTATTTATATCCCAAGAGTCGTGAGGGCAAGTATATGTAGCTGTGTGTGTGTGTGTGTCAGGGCGTGTCATCAGGTTACAGTGTGTGTAAGTGGACTCCTCTTTGTCCTGTTGATACATTTAGACAGACGGCCACTGAAACTTTCAACAGGAGGGTCAGATACTCCTGTGCAACCTTTTCCACTGACACACACACACACACACACACACACACACACACACACACACACACACACACACACACACACACACACACACACACACACACACACACACACACACACACACACACACACACACACACACACACTCATTAATTCCCCTAATGTCGAGTTAGCTATAGGAGTTGTGCCTTCTTATCCGGGAAGTTTGAATTTTCCAAATGTGTAAAAGTGTGTAGAATATTATGGGGGGATAAATCCCATTATAAAAAGAACAGGGAAAAGTTAAAAATGTGATGTGAGGCTGATGTTTTAAAGAGAGATGACTGCTGACTCATCCTCTGTCAGATCCGTCTCCGTCACCCCAGAGTGATGCTGGCAGTCTCTGCTTCAAGCTGTTCCCACTACCAAATATCTGCAGCTGAACCCACCCAAATGTGGTCTCATACCATGAATAATGATTACAAAATTATACCAGAAATCGGTGATTCAGCTTCTGTGTCAAAATCAAACCACGACAGCGCTGGTTTTTCGCACCTCTTTACAGCCTTTTCTTTCGATCGTTAATAAAGTATCTTCTTTGTTTTTTAGGAAAGCCATCTCCCGTTCAGGCCTCCAGCACCTTGGCCCCCCCCACCCCGCCCTGCCTCCCGCATCCAACGGGCCCAACAAAGAGCTGCGCACCGCCCTGGACTGGACTGTAAGACCTGCATTTATATCATAGAAAATGAATAATCATCATATTTGTCTTTGTATATAGGTATCAGGTTTATGTGTATTCCAGAGGTCGCGTTAACCGAATATTTTCCGTCTATGACGGATTTTTTTTAACAATGACGGACAAATCTGAAAGCACTCCGTCATTTTGACAGATTAGAACAAACTCGGAACAGCGCCAAAGTTTCCCCGCAGCGAGGCTGCTTATGGGTGTTATGCCGTGTTATGCATGCCCTCCAAAAAGGAAATGATACCGTTTCCAAACCTAACTGTGCCGTACAAATCATTGAAATGTCTGAGTTTTGGCTGTACGCTGTGCACGCTCCCGCGAGGTGCAGCAGCCATGCATAACACGGCGCATGTGAACTCCCCCCCCCCGTTGACAGTTCACGAGCATGCTTCTCTTCCCCTCCCCTCGTCAGAGTTGTGTATTCTACGGGTGATTCTGGGTTTTGACGGAAGTTTTACGATCCTGTCCGTCAAAATGACGGGCAGCGAAAAAGTCTAGCGCAACCTCTGGTGTATTCTGTTCATATACTGTATGTTTGCTAAATTTTACACGTGCAGACATGACATCAATGCATGTTTTAATACTGCACAAAGTGGACAGTTGTCCCGGGCTCTGCTTGCCTTATTCTGCCGGGCTGAGTCACTGAATGACATTTGGTTTTTAATGACAACAGATTTTTTTGCAGATTGGTTTCAACAGCCGTATGTTCATGTGGAAAAGAAAAACAGCAATTTGCTTTTGGGTTTTTGATTATTACTAGAAAATGTCCTGATAACTGAGCATGGGAAAGTTTTACATGCCAGGGTGTGACTTTTTTGCTGGGTTTATTTTGCAGAAGTTAATAGGCTTCATTTGCATAACGCCTCACAAAGCTCCAGAGACGTTTTAAAACACTTTCTGAATTGAAATGAAATGAATACCAAATGCTGAGGGAAATGCCCAGTTGATATGTAACGTTGTCTGAAATCAAATAAGTAATGAAACTTAACAAATTAGACTACAATGGAGAACAAGGCATCGATAAATACAGGACATTTGTGAAGCTGTTTCACCTCACGAAGATGTGCACACATTCAAGCTTTTGTGTTCTTGAAGTCAATAGCTGCTTAATTACAAGCAGTTTTCTAATATGCCTTGCATTTTGAGGAAATGACGTCAACCTTTAAGAAAATGTTCTAGTAAAACAACACAAAACATTTGTTTATTATCCTGCATTTTTTTTAGAAACCCCCTTCCATATTCAGTCACTTTTGTCTTTAATGATTACAATGTAAGAATCTGTTAGAACTGATATAATGATAGTCTTTACAGAACTAACTGCTGCCACTCTACTTTGAGTGCACTGGGCCCAAAGGATGAAAGCAAAGCTGCTATTTTTATCTGATTCAACAAAGAAAAGAATAACTGTGACGGAGGGAGGTTTTACTTTTGAGCACACCGGCTCAGAAAAGAAAACAAACACTGCTTTAGCCACAGAAATAGCTTCCAAAATATGGCTATAATTGCATCATGTGTAATCAAGTTTAAAAACATGAATGTCTCTCTTTTGCTACGCTCTATGATACTGTAACGTTGGGCACCTTAGTGAATCATACATGAATAATGAGTATTAAGGAAAACATTCTGGATTATTAATGAGCAGGTGTAAGTAGACAACCCCACATCTGAGATCCCCCCGTGGCTCTGTCTGCAGGGACACTTCCAACACGTCAGCACTGGCCTTTAGCTCTCTGCACGACACACTAATATATAATCATTGTGTGTTATCACTCATTATTGTGTTGATTTAACACAACTTGATGGGTTCATTTAGGGGCCTATTAGTCAAATGAAATGATTAGTTTCGTTTTTTTGTTACACTGACCAGCCATTGACAGATGTTTGATGTAATGTAGCAAGGCAATACTTATGGCTGTGAAATCAGAAAAATATAATGCAGCTTCTGCTCTTTACCCTCCTTTACAATCACATGTTGTCTCTAATCATCAATATTACATCTGCTTAAAATGTTGCAAGTAATTATATTGTACCTCACACAGTAACACCTTTTAACACAGTAATTATCGCATGATTTTGATCACCTCTTTGTCCCTAAATTACCCTCCTCACTATTTTCTAAAGGATTTTAACCCCAGAGATCAAGTCATTTAATCAGACTCTGTATTATTGATTTAATAACGATAACGAAACAGTTTCTTTTTACAAACCGACATAATGCCATATGCCACAAGATTAGGTAGCCCAATCATTGTGTAAAATAATATTAAAAAATGTACCCTTTCCCCTCCTGCACATATTTGTAATATTAAGACGGGTCTAACACTAACCCTATAATAATGTAAATCTTTTTTTAAACACAATGCCTAAGAAACACACACCTTCTGAAAGCTGTACAATGAACCCAGTGACATCCTTTTACCACTACACACACTCACCCTGTCTATATGTACTGTGGGTAATGTGTATTTGTAAAGCGCTTTGAGCATCTGGAAAAGCGCTATAATAAATGTAAGGAATTATTATTATATGCGTATACTGTAGGAGTGTGTTTGCACTTGAATCAGCGGCTCCTGTAGCGCTTTGATAAGCACTTTAAATGAACATATACTGTTAAATTACCCTCCTCCTCAGCAGCGGTGATTATGTGCTTGACATACTTGTTAACCGTCATTTCAGTGCAGCGTTTTTATGTACATATGGCTGTAATTTAATGGGAACATCTTGAGCGATAGATAATGTGAGTTATTATATCATTCTTGGCTCTCTCTGCAGGAGAACGCAGTGAACGGGGATCACCTGTGGATGGAGACGAGTTGTTCAGGAGAGCTCTGTTATCTCGGAGAGGACACCTGCCTACTTAAGACCGCAGTGAGTGATGGACACAATGACCACTTGTGCGTCAGTGTGTGTGTGTGTGTGTGTGTGTGGTTTGTCGGTATCCTCTTAGACCTTAGCGAGTAATTCAACAAAACTTGGAAAAAGCAGTGGTAGACACAAATAAGTCCTGATAGACTTTTTATGTAGGGAGAACAACTTTGATAATGAGAACATATTAGATAAAAAGATATAACTCATTGAGGTGACTTTCTATACACTTGTACAGAGTATTTTGAAATGTTCTCATGTTTTCATGAATGACGAAAGGTGGTCATGTTTACCTAACGATAAGATAACCTATACTCAAATCAAATATTCATATCGAATCAAATCCATATTATAATTTTTAATAAATGGTTTTCCTATGTGCGCAATTTTTTGTAATTTTCAAAAACCAGATGCATAAAAACATGCTCACTCACAGTTCTCGCACATATAGTCCCAGTGTTCAGGAAATGGAGCGTATTGTAAACTCGAGAGGAAATGACTCTTTAAGCGGTGGATAAACTGTTAACGTGTTTAAATTACAGGTATTATAAATCCAGCCACAAAGAAAAATAGCACTTTGATTCCAGTGCTGAGAAATAAACTTTTATTATGGACAATCATATAATGACATATCTGGACATTTCCACTGATGGTGTGTAATTAGATAGACCCTCCAGAAAAACGCGGGCTAAAATCCTTAATTATGCGATCAAACATGCGGGGGTTTTATGTGATTTGATGCGGTGAAATTGCGGGAAGTTGCGAAATATGCGGAAATATGCTAAATATGCGGAACAAATAAATATTGGACTGTCTTATTTATTCTCTCTCACACACAACCTGCCACTAACGTTAAACCCCTTTACTATTCAATTAAACACATTCAATGTTTATTTATTGTAAAAGCAATTGGGCTATTTTAATCTCTCTCTCTCTCTCTCTCTCTCTCCTCTCTCTCTCTCTCTCTCTCTCTCTCTCTCTCTCTCTCTCTCTCTCTCCTCTCTCTCTCTCTCTCTCCTCTCTCTCTCTCTCTCTCTCTCTCTCTCTCTCTCTCTCTCTCTCTCTCACTACACACACTTCTCTGCCTCATTCTGTTTTCATTTACTTGTTCGTTATCTGACCAGCTTCAATCTTGTAGGCTTCTCACCTCGTTTCTTGTAGCCCTCGAAAGGGTTTTGGAGGTTGATGCCTCGGTGAACGTGAGTTGTTTGGCGTTCTTGTCCGCAGCAGCAGAAAGCATGTTTGAATGAATCAAAGTGGGTCGACTCATCACCGTCGAATTTCTCTTATGCTCCAACACAGTTGCACGGGGTGCAGAATACTTTCCCCCCACTTTCGTTCAAGACATCGGGGTACTGCTTTGCCCGGTCTTTAGCAGAAATGTTCGTCGGTAAATGAGATGGATTAGATTTTTTCATCTTGGTGTTTTCTCTCTCGTGTGAGCTCCACACGTTCACTCTACGGTGTTGTTTACCTTCTGTGATGCGCGAGCTGATGACGTTGCGTCATCATCACTTCACGTCAAGACGAGTTAACTTTTTTTCCCCTCAATTTTGTGTGGAAAAATGCGGGGATTATGCGGCCTTTTGATAAATATGCGGCCTTTTAAAAATCTGCGCCATTTTGCTGATTATGCGGTAAATTCTGCGATCGCAGAATCGCGTTTTTCTGGAGGGTCTAATTAGAGTACAATGAGTGTAGGAGAACATGGTGAGGCTGCTGCCAGTTAGATGGAGATGCAGCCAAATCCATTCACTATCATCTATATTGTCACTTGTGTGTTTGCTTGGATACATATTCCATCAGCTCTTTCAGATACTTAAAAGAAGTGAAAGAAGTGACCTCGGTTAGATTGCTTTGACAAGTCAATCATGCACAAGTCATAATAGCTCTGACTCAGTCTCTGTCATTATGGAAGAACGCAGTATTTCAGATTTATGCTATAGAAAATGTTTCAGGAGTCATTTTAGAGTTGCCTTAAGAGCTTGTATGCATTTACCGTCAGGCGTACTGTCGGTGAAAAGGGCAAGTCCAACAATTCTTGAACATTTGTGAAGCGTAAACGACAGATCTGGCGAAGCTTGTTAATCCATCTGTATTTTTAACAAAGCAATATTACCTTAAAATGGTGAAATGTCAAATCAATGATTGTGAGAGAAACAACCGAGGTGAAAACTTGATTGAAGCCAACTTCCATCCAAAGTGGGACATTACAGAGCTGAAGTGACTGTTCCATAATTCAGTATTTAATTAACAGTGCATTCTCCTGCTACTGCCACCATTTTGAATAATCTGTATTAATCCTTGGTTTTATTGTCAGAATTTTTTTTCAAACCTTCCCAAATCCAGCTTCTCAAATGTAGAAATGTGCTGCTTCTTTCTCTGCTATGTGGGGGTAAACTGAATTGATTATGCTTTCAGACCAAACATGTGATGATCTCAGGGATGATACATTTGACCTCTTTGAGCATGAAAGATTTATTTAAACTAGAAGGGCACTCAGAGAGGACAGGCGTCCATGTTTGTATCTGCCTGGTTGAACAAATAAAGTATTTGAGTTAATGTTCTCTCACAGTTTCAGCAGTTTTGAGTATATTAGATAAAATATCGCTAGTGTCATGACTGACATCCTCTGAGACTGCTATATTTCAAAATGAATCAACAGAGGCCTATTCTATTTTATTGAACTGTAAGAGTACACAGCCAACCCACCAAAACATTGGTCCTTGCGGTAATTATGCAATGTGTAGTACTTATTTGTTCTTAAAAATGTTAGCCTTTAAAGACTTAAATGACTTTTAAGATGTGGTAAAGAACTTCCTCCAATTGGCGCTTTTGCAATGAACTCATCATTCCCCTACATGTTGTCAGCAGCATCTTGTTGAAGAACATCGTGCTTCCTTAGCGCGATGTATTTCTTGTTAAAAGAGGGGTTTTGTGCTGGGACTTTTATAATGCGAGAACATTGAGAACTGCTAACTAATAAGTATTGAGAGTGAAAGGCTGTCCTTTATCATTTGAGAGTAGCACTGGGCTAAGTGTGGCTCACTGACACTTAACACTGGAGTTGAGACTACTCCATTATCAGCCGTCTTATTATTTACCCATAATCAGTAGTCAGTCGTGAGAGGAAGGGCAGCAGGGCAAAATGATTTATTAATGGCAAACAGCTCTTTGGCATCCTTAATGTTGGATGATTTTCCTTCATTGCCGGTCACACTGTGATAAATGTCAGGATTAATCTCTGAGACGTCTGCATATTTAATATTTTCATAGCCATGTTTATTCTAATATGTATGTTTTTCACCAATGATGATATCAATAAGTAAGCATTTAGGGCTGTATTGAACAATTATAAGCTTGTATTTATTGAGCAGTATGTTCATTTTGTGAAAACCTGGTAGTGCTGTACAGTTGAATTAATATTTAGTCTATACTCATATTATTGTGTGTGTGTCTTTGTATCTCACCGACCTCTGTGCTGTGTGTGTTTTTTCTCCTTAAGAAGTCGGCCCCCAGGAAGAAATGTGCTGCCTGTAAGATTGTAGTTCACTCGGGCTGCATAGAGCAACTAGAAAAGGTATGACACACACACACACACACACACAAAACATTTTCTTTTTTAAAGCAGACACATTATCATTTAATTAAAGGTAATTTTTGAAACGTAAAGAAAGAAGAAGGTTTTCTGCACCTTTTATTTCTGTTAATCAATATGTAGGCCGCAGCTATAGCACTTTTTTGACTGACTGTTTTTCAGCTGTTTAATTCTATTATGCCATACTGGTACTCAATTTCTTATCTTTTTATAAAACTCATTTATTTGGGTGTTTTGTGTCAATATTTAATGTTTTATTTGTTTAATTTTGTCTACACTTCTTTCTAGATTAACTTTAGATGTAAGCCAACCTACAGAGAGGGTGGATCCCGGTGCCTCCGAGATGTAAGTGTGTGTGTGTGTGTGTGTGTGTGTGTGTGTGTGTGTGTGTGTGTGTGTGTGTGTGTGTGTGTGTGTGTGTGTGTGTGTGTGTGTGTGTGTGTGTGTGTGTGTGTGTGTGTGTGTGTGTGTGTGTGTGTGTGTGTGTGTGTGTGTGTGTGTGTGTGTGTGTGTGTGTGTGTGTGTGTGTGTGTGTGTGTGTGAAAATACTGCATATGTGTGGCTCTATACATGTGATAGTAGAAAATATATCCTATTTACACTTTGTGCGAGGAGTAATCGTGATTATCATTTCTCCCTCTGACAGCAGGGCATACTGAGACATCACTGGGTTCACAGGCGGAGACAGGAGGGGAAATGTAGACAGTGTGGAAAGGTAACACACACACACACAAACGTTGTTTACAGTTATAATTGTTTATACAGACTTACTTGAGTGTTTTTCTGTCTGTTCTTGTAGAGTTTTCAACAGAAGTTCTTCCACAGTAAAGAAATAATCGCAATCAGTTGTTCCTGGTGTAAACAGGCGGTAAGTTAATCATCCTCTGTATTATTATTCACTGTAGATTAAAGAATATCCTACATTTGGTTACATAATTGCATTGTCAAGAACATTTTACTTAAATATGAAGTGAGAAAAATACGAAATAGAAAATAGTAGTTTAGTTACTTTAAATACACTTACATCTTAAATGTACAGAACTACAGGAAGTTTAATGAGTGAGTGTTTTTCTTTTTATTGTAGTTCCACAATAAGGTGACGTGTTTCATGCTGCATCAGATCGAGGAGCCTTGTTCACTGGGAGCCCACGCCGGAGTCATAGTACCCCCCTCCTGGATCATCAAAGTCAGGAAACCACAGGTACACACACACACACACACACACACACACACACACACTCCCATTACAGACATCCCTCACCAGTCAGTCTACTGGATTTTTTTGACATCTAAATTGTAACCTATACAAAACTGTGTGTGTGTGTGTGTGTGTGTGTGTGTGTGTGTGTGTGTGTGTGTGTGTGTGTGTGTGTGTGTGTGTGTGTGTGTGTGTGTGTGTGTGTGTGTGTGTGTGTGTGTGTGTGTGTGTGTGTGTGTGTGTGTGTGTGTGTGTGTGTGTGTGTGTGTGTGTGTGTGTGTGTGTGTGTGTGTGTGTGTGTGTGTGTGTGTGTGTGTGTGTGTGTGTGTGTGTGTGTGTGTGTGTGTGTGTGTGTGTGTGTGTGTGTGTGTGTGTGAATCTGTGAATCTGTCTATGATGTGATATGAGCTGACACATGTCTGATCTGTCTAAGGAAATTCATAGATTCACACACACAAGCTCAGATGCATATCTCTCACTCACATCACATGCTATTTTAATTACCATCACAATGGATATGGTGACAGTGAACTAACCATTGAACTCTGTGTGTGTTTTTACCCTAGAGCTCGCTTAAGAACTCTGCCAGGAGGAAAAAGCGGACATCTTTCAAACGAAGGACAAGCAAGAAGGGACTGGATGTGAGTAACACTATGACAGACTCTATTAGCTTTTAAACGTATTTCAAGGTTCAGAGTCATTACAATTTTCAAATCATCTTTCTTTTTCCTAACTTTCTGTATCTGTGTCTTGCTTTCTTCAGGAGTCTAAATGGCGCCCGTTCATGTTGAAGCCCCTCCCTTCCCCTCTCATGAAGCCCATCTTGGTTTTTGTCAATCCAAAGAGTGGAGGAAACCAGGTGAACTTAAAATGATTACATATTTTTAGTAGGGATGGGAACGATTAATCGAATATTCAAAATTATTCAGGTATTCGAATATGAGAATATGCGTTATGAATATTTTACATTTCGGTTAATCGGTTAACCGTTTCTTTGGGGGTCGAATATTCGAATATACATTTGCTTTCAAATTCCCATCCCTAATTTTTAGTAATATCTATTTTGATACCTTCAAGCTATGAAATGGATAAATATAAAAAGGAATTTTCTGTAATGTAATATATTTCATGTACATTTATAAATAAATAAAATATTACAATAGACTTTTACTATTTATAAACCCATAGTTTATATGTATCCTGGTTATCCAGACAGTATTATTCTGCATCTCTGTTTACAAATCATTTGAATCACATTTGAGTCAAACAGTAGGTGACCATGAATTTCAAACAGAGTGTTATATAACAGATATCAGTATCATGACATTATCATATTCAATTAAATGATCTTTTATTAATTCACCCTTCCACTGTACAGATCTTAACAGGGTGTCAGTGGCTGATTTATTTAGTTTTACAAGATAACCTGAGTTTACTTCATTAAAACATGATTGACTGTAATTTCTCTCTGCAGGGTTTCAAGGTGTTACAGATGTTCATGTGGATCCTGAACCCTCGACAAGTATTTGACCTGTCGCAGGGGGGGCTGCGAGAGGCGTAAGTATTCAGTGAGACCTTTTTACTCATAAATCTACTCTACTTTATTTAACTAGACAACAATTCACACTTTTCTTAAGTGGCAGCTAGAAAGAACTGTCTTAATCCTAATTTCATACCACATTATTATCACAATGAAAACTTGGATAATTACTCCCACTTTTAACACCAATCAGCACTTCTGCTGAAATATCATCTGTCATTCTTCATCATCTCCTTTCTTTGTGCACTTTGTGTGAAATACCAGGTTGGAGTTGTATCGCAAAGTGCCAAATCTGAGGATCCTCGCCTGCGGAGGAGACGGCACGGTAAGACAAGTAGTAGTAGTAGTAGTTGTAGTAATTCATTTCAGAGCTTATAATCAGACAGTTACCCTAAAGAAATACGGATAAAATAGTAATTAATAATTCTTGTATTCAGAAGCTAGCTCTTTCATTCTAATATAATGTATTTATATTTATTGAATTTTAAATCCCTGCACCTCCTACTTTCTGTCTGTGTCTTTTTGTAGGTGGGCTGGATCCTGTCCGCCCTTGATGAGCTGCAGATGAACCCCCAGCCTCCGGTCGCTGTACTTCCTCTGGGAACAGGAAATGACCTCGCCAGGACGCTCAACTGGGGCGGGGTGAGTTCCTCGCCTTGACTCCTGAGCCGCAGGACGTCTGGGCTTCTCCTCCCTGTAGTTTTTCAAACCATTGAAGTGTCTGTCCAACCACTTTGAGTTTACCCTCATTATGACACAGAGTTAGAAAATGATTAAAGATACACCTCAAACATTTACAAAAATTACATTTTCTTTGGGTATTTTTAAATGAACATAGTTTAAAGAAAATAATGCTGGTAGTTTTGTATCACCTAATGTGGCACGTGGAGCAGTTCAAGGAAACATGAATGACTTTAATGAGATTCCTGGAGTACAATGCAGACATAAGTCCTGATGCAGAGAGAGATAGAGGCTGTGAACGAAGATGGAGCTGAAAAGTCACATCTATGTTCATACTGTAGAGTAATTAGTGTGTCCTGTTTGTCCTCTCTGTCACTATTGTTTCTGACTGGAGAGATGTTTCCACCTGGTCTCTGTTCTGCCTTCCCTTTCCTCTCCTTTTCTAATACCTTTCCTGACCTTTTTTTCCTTCCTTCCTTCCTTTCCCATCCCTTTCAATTCCTCTCTTCTTTCCTATCATCTCCCTGAAACTCTTTCTCTTTTCATGCCATTCACTTTTAATTAATTCCCTCTCTTCACTTATCCCTTATTCCTTTCATCCACTTTGCTTTCCTCTACCCTCTTCTCCTTTCCTTTGAATTCCTTTCCTTCAATTCCTCTCCACTCATTTTCTTACATCTGATTTTCTTTGTTTCCATGAACCTTCCTTCCCTTCCCTTTTCTTGCAATTCCTGTCCTCTCCTTCACGCTCCTCCCCTTTCCTCTGATTCCTTCTCCTTTCCTTTCCATCCCTTCTTTGCTCCTTTTTTTGCTTCCTTTCTTCTTCCCACCCGTTTCTTTCCTCTTCCTCCTCTCTCCTTTTACTGACACTCCGCTGTGTTACTCACCTGCAACACCTCTCTCTGTGTGTGAGCGTTAATGAACCTGTAAGTTGCTGAGTGTGTGTGTGTGTGTGTGTGTGTGTGTGTGTGTGTGTGTGTGTGTGTGTGTGTGTGTGTGTGTGTGTGTGTGTGTGTGTGTGTGTGTGTGTGTGTGTGTGTGTGTGTGTGTGTGTGTGTGTGTGTGTGTGTGTGTGTGTGTGTGTGTGTGTGTGTGTGTGTGTGTGTGTGTGTGTGTGTGTGTGTGGAGACACTCTCTGAGGAGTCCCTGCTGATGAGTGCTACTATCATCAGATTGCTGTGTGTGTGTGTGTGTGTGTGTGTGTGTGTGTGTGTGTGTGTGTATAATTGCTCTCCTTAGTGAACTAATTTCCTGACCCTGTCCAGAGGGAGACAGAAATTAAAAGCAGTCGACACAGAGACCAGGGATGGAGAGAATAATGAGAAAAAGACAAAATACTGTCAGTTAGAGAGACGAGGCTTGAATGCCTGATGTGACGGAGGTCAGAGAGACTAGGCTTGATGGTCTGATGAAAGGGAGGAGGAAGGTGTGTGTTATCTGTAAAATCCCTTTATTTATGCATGAGGTTTGGTGTGTGCTCTTAAGGTGGTCAGGGTGTCAGTGAGGCAGACCACTTATTGAGAGACAATCATTACGTGCTCTCTCTCTGTTCCACTCTATCGTTTCCCTGCTCCCTGCGTGTGGGTGTTATAGAAAGAGAGACAACATCATCCATTCATCTTTTACATTTCTCTCCTATTCTCCAAACCACTCTGCTCTTCCTATACCAGCCATACATTCCCCTCTTTCTTTTTTCTCTTTTTTTTCATCATCTATAAATCAAAATATCAAGTTGTACTGCTCTGACTCGATGCTGTAACTGCTTATTGTATATGTAATGCAAATTTCCTGTCTCCCTATTTACTTCCCGATGTCTGTTTATTTCTGTCTCCACAGGGTTACACAGACGAGCCGGTGTCCAAGGTTCTGTGTCACGTGGAGGACGGTTCAGTGGTGCAGCTGGACAGGTGGAACCTCCTGGTGGAGAAAGGGGCTGCGCAGCCAGAGGAGGGCACGCAGAACGTAAGCAGTCAGCGCGGTGCTTAGGGTGTTAGTCTGTGAAAAGGTAGTATGTTGTGGAGATAGAGAAAAAGCTGGACCTTAAAGATCGATTTTATTCAACTCAATAGAGTTCTTTCATTAAAACAGTTTTCAGGAGATGAGGGTGCGATGACAAATTGCAGTGCTGTTTTTTATAGTGCTTTTTCTGAAGTCCATCTAACCAGCACATGATGATACAATTCCTCAGTGCAGTATTTCAAACTGAAGAAATAGCAGTGATTTGGCTAACTTTTAATGTAATGTTGCTGCCTCACAATAAAAGATTCGCCTTCGAATCAAGAGCAGCTTCCAAAAACTTTTTTTTTTAACTAGCAATCGTCAGCCCAAATACACTGATTACCGATACTGCCTACATTCCACAAACTCGCTAAGCTTTTTCAGTACGATACCTTTTTTTAATAAACTCACAAAAAGTCAAAAAGGGACACATCTCATTATGAATGGTTATTATGATGAGGATTCGGGTTGTACTGTACGGTATTAATAAACATGTTAAAACGAATATGATTTGTCTATGTGAATACATTGTGTGCTATTTATGCAAACACACTCACTTAAAACATTTTTCCTGTGTCCTCAGCTGCCTCTGAATGTGTTCAACAACTACTTCAGCCTGGGCTTCGATGCTCATGTCACCCTGGAGTTTCATGAGTCCAGAGGTCAGTGAAATCTGTTTTAATGTCTTTTTTTAAACTCTATTTATATCCCATTATGTCCTCCTCATTCCCGTTAATGCACTGCACTCCTCTGAAAGAGAGCAGAATTGAATAAAATATTTAAAAGGACAGATTCAGAGCATTCATGCATGCACAAATGAGACAGATTTTCTTATTCGTACTGTATGTGTCTGTTGTTTTGTAAAATATGTAATGTAGTCTGCTTCTCTGCCTCTCTGATTGTGTCTTTCCAGAGGCCAACCCAGAAAAGTTTAACAGTCGCTTCCGCAACAAGATGTTCTATGCAGGAGTGAGTCTCCCTCAGAAACTGTTCTGGTTTTCTCTGCTATCTCTGTCTCTCTTCCTAAAGCACTCACTGAAGACTGAGGAGGAAGATTGGAGGGAATGAAGGGAAAAAGACAAAGGAAATGCAGATGAAAGGAACATAGATAAACTGTTTCTAAGTCTTATTGTCAGCCTTAAATAATTATAATCCTAAATACAATATGAAATGGTGTTATCTTGCATCAATGCAATGGCAGTTATTTGTTATTTTAGAGTTATGATGAACAGTAGATCTACTCGTTTTTATTCTACTCTATAGTTAGTTAGTTATAGTTAGATGCAAGCTTCTTTTTTATGTTGGTTTTAGATTTAGATTTATTTTAAACAATACATTTATTAAAAAGTAACAGATAAAATCAATAGTAAACATATAGCAAACTCTTAATATACATATTATCGGCACAGTTTTAGACACAAGATTATTATATGACATTGTAATAGTGATGTCAAACTATGAAACAATACATAATAATACAAAAAATAATATAGTATATATACAGAAAGCCCCTATATCATCTCTCCCCTTCTCCACTTAACTCAATATTTATAATTTGTCTAATTCACATCTAAAGTGTTGAACAGATCATTTGAAATGTAACGTTTTGAAACCTGCATATAATTTGTAAAGATTGAGAGATTTCAGGAATGAATGATGTGTGGGAGTTTGAGAGGAAGCATGCAGGGGAGTTATCTCTTTTTAATGAGGGAAATGCAATGAACTGTAATTCAGTTGGATTCTGTTTTCTCTGTTAATGTGTGTGTGTGTGTGTGTGTGTGTGTGTGCGTGTGTGCACGTGCGTGTGTGTGTGTGTGTGTGTGTCCAGGCCGCGTTCTCAGATTTCCTCCAGAGAAGCTCGAGGGATTTGTCCAAGCACGTCAGAGTGGTGGTGAGTGTTAACACACACTCCCTCTCTATCTCGGCGTGTATCTTTTTCCGTGTCGACATGTCTGGGCAGCAGGTCGGTGGGTGATTAAAAAGTCCGTCCTTCAACTCCTCTTTTTACATCTGCCATGCTCGAGTGTCCTGCAGCAGGACGTTGAATAAACACACACTGACCTCCATGCTATGATAAGAGCAGCGGCTAACTATTCATTAATGACTAGATTGTTCTCTTGATATCAAAATATCAGAGAAGGATGTGCAGATCTAGACAGGTGGCCACTTGAGGGCCCATCTCAAATGTCCAAAGCCACATTTATTTATATTATTTGTTTTGCCCAGTAAACAATCCAAAACCTAAAATTGTGCAATTGACTTCATTTATTTTATAGTTTATTGGGCTGATAACATATCTGTTTAAATGTCATGCTAGTGCTGACATTAGCTTATATAAGGCTGATATAATAAGAAAACCAAACATTAAGTACAAATATAAAATATTACTAGACTTATCGCAGACATTTAAGTAAAGATTTAAATTCACTTTACTGTATATGAAATAATATGCATATATATATAAGTTTTGCACTAAACGTTATGCCTCAGGTCTATAATTCTTCACATTCCTTGTTTCTGCTACAACTACTTTAGGGCATGACCCTTGACCTCCATCAATCACTTCTAACCCCTTCACATCTAATCAGATGGTTGCAACCACAAATGATAATTTTCACTTTCCTTCCTTTTCCTTCTTTCTCTCTCCCTGTGTTTGACAGTGTGATGGTACCGATCTAACTCCTAAAATCCAGGAGCTGAAATTTCAGTGCATTGTGTTTCTAAACATTCCCAGGTAAGTGAATGTACCATATGTCTATAATACTGGGTGAAAAAGCACCTTTTATAGATACAATAATATAATGTAACTCATTTATATATGCAATGTGATTATAATAAACCCTCCATACTTAACTTTTCATAAGGGGTTGGATTTACATACTATAATATTACTACATTATATACTATTATGTTTCCGCTAAAGTAAAAAAGCCTTTAGAAAAGCATTACAAAATATATGAGACACTACAGCAGTGATTACACGACAAATTCATTAGGTTTAGTAGTTGTTTTTATGAATTTAGATGTACCATATTAACATTTTTACATGTGTTTGTGTATGTAGGTACTGTGCTGGCACCATGCCATGGGGAAACACAGGCGACCACCGGGACTTTGAACCGCAGCGCCATGACGACGGCTGCATCGAGGTTATTGGCTTCACCATGGCCTCATTGGTGAGATGAAGAGAGGGTATGAGGGGAAAAATAAATATTTGAAAGCTGTTAGAAGCGGCGGTGACACTGGTGTATGTTTCAATACCCTCCTGTTATTATAACCTTCACTGTAAGAACCTCTCTCGTCCACCAGGCGGCGCTACAGGTCGGCGGGCATGGAGAGAGATTGCATCAGTGCAGAGAAGTCGTCCTCACTACCTACAAAACAGTTCCTGTTCAGGTGAGGACTCTGAATATATAGCACTGTTGAGGGACTGGATTTACCGTTTTATAATACACCGATTCTAGCTATAGAAAGTTGATTACTACTTTTAAGATGAATTACACAGGCATACATCAAGGTTAGAAATAGGAAGTAAAGGATTTCCATCAAATAAAGTACTCATAGCTAATCTGTGCAATACCTGTTTGTTAAATTCTGCTTCACTTGATACTAATAAAAAAGTATTTGTTTAGTATATTTCGTGCAAATATGCAGCCTAAAAAAAACAAGATCTGTTGAATATAAACAATAACAAAAAGTAAAAAGATAGCAATAGGTAAAGTAGAAAATAAAACAGTAAAGTCAACCCTTATTTAAAGCCAAATTTAAAAAGATGAAGGCTAGAATTGAAGCCCGCGCATTGAACTCAAATGACCTTAGATGATGTTCTTACCTCCTTATTTCCTGGAAAAGCATTTTGTTTGTTTTAATTATTGTAGTGTCACTGACATTAAAACAGTTTTATTTTGGGTCTCTGTGTGTCCATGCAGGTGGACGGTGAGCCGTGTCGACTGGCTCCATCCACGCTCCGAATCTCCCTCCGAAATCAGGCCAACATGGTCCAGAAGAGCAAGAGGCGCACCTCTGTGCCCCTGCTTAATGAGTGAGTCACACACACACACACACACACACACACACACACACACACACACACACACACACACACACACACACACACACACACACACACACACACACACACACACACACACACACATACAGGAACTAGGCCAGCAGTGTTGTAAAAGCCCGGGTTGCACAGAGTGAGTCACTCAATCTGTTTAGTGGGATCTGACATTCACTCCTCTCCGTGTCCCACTTCCCCCTGCAGCCCGCCAAACCACAATCACAGGAAATTGATATGTTTATGTTCTATTTAATCAAAACAAAAGCACCGGGGAGATATCCAATCGCACTCTGACATGTTATACCGTGTGGTTATCGGCTGAGAAGAAGAAGAAGGAGACGTTTATTGATTTATGTCAGGGTGAAAGCAGCTGCATTGTGGTCGCCTGCAGTGCTGGAAGAAGTACTCAGAGATACTACAAGTAGAACAAACACAGTCTAAAAATACTCCATTAAAAGTCAGATTTAAAATTCCTGAATTAATATGTGGATTGTATAAAAGTATTATGAGCCAAATGGACAAAAGGTTTCCAAAAAGTACTGCACAATCATATAAAAGTGCTATTTTTAAACATATGATATGATGCATTTGTATACTACTAATCTATCCTTAAGTATACAATGTATACGTGTATTTGTTCCGCATCGACAAACTACAAGATAAAACACAGCATTTGTTACTTGTATATATCCATAAATCCAAGTATCAGAAGTAAAACATCAGTATGCTGAAATTATTGTTATAGAGTGTTATATTATTTATCAAGTAAGAGCATTTTAATGTTGGAGCCAGTTTCAGATACTTGACATACTACTGGGAAGTAGGGTACTGCATCATATATATTTAATGTAAAAATGAACACAGAAAATAAAGGTTTTGGAGTAAAAACCTGCGGATTTGCCTCTGAAATGTAATGGAGTAGAAGTCAAAAGTAGCATAACATGGGTACGTGAGAATTGTGCTTGAGTGCAGTGCTTGAGAATTGAATAAATGTACTTGCACTCGCGGCTGAGTAAAAATACAGCTTATATCTAGCTACTAACGCTTCTCAATCCCTGTTGACTAACCCACTCCATGTTCAGCTGTCATATCTGTGGGTCTGCAGTGATAAGAGACGAGCTGCAGCTCCTGTTCTCTGTGCTCTTCATGTTTGTCCACTTACCTGATGGGCTTTTCTCATCCCCTCCTCCTCCTCCTCTTCCTCTTTTTATCAACACAAAACATTATGATTACTTATTGTTTTCATTTGTTTACCTTCTCTCTTTCTTTTTTCCCTTCCTCTGCTCTTGTTTGATTCATTTCTTCCCCCCTACTCCTTTCCCTTTTCGCCTATATTTTTGCATTTTCTCACTTGTCTCCTCTCCTGTCTTCACTCTTGTGTCCTTGTGTCCTCCCTCTCTTCTTCCTTCCTCTCATTTCCTTATCTCCTCTTTTCTCTCTTCCCCTCCACTGCTCACCTCCTCCTCGTCTCCTCTCTGCCATACGTTTCTCCTCTCCTCGGTGTGTGTTTGTGTGTGTGTGTGTGCGGCTGTAGTATTCAGAAGGTGTGTGCAGCTGATCTGCGCCGCCTCTCTGCTCCCCCAGACTCCTTCTCTGTGTAAGTACCTGAGACCCTCTGTCACTGTCTGTTTCGTGTCTCTGACTGATTCGATGCTGTTTCTGTCAGCGTTTGTTCGTTTGGGTTCAAACAATATTTGAGGATACCTAAAGCAGTCCATGTATTCAATCACCCATGCAGATTGACGACACTTTGTTTAAACAATCTAAATTCTACCCTCAATTTACTTTCATTTCCGATAGTAAACCCACTTTTTGAATGAGTGTGAGTCTTCACAATTTGGCAGCCTTTATCATTTAGACTCCTTTCTTTACCTTTATGCAAACTTTTAGTCAAATGAAGAACATCAAAAATATTCAAAATTAACAATTGTTCTTTTTCTTTTGTACAACCTATACGAACGATAAAGGTGTTAAATACTGACTCAGAGAAAACACTATTTTCAGCATCAGCCTCGACAAACTTGTGTTGGATTTCAAATCTCGTATTGATTGAACCCAGGTTGCATCGTATTGTGTTGAATGTGAGTTTTGGTTATTTGCCGACTGACAGAGAAGAGTGTATGGCAGCGTGCTGAAGCCACTTTTAAATTTGCTTCTGCTTCTTGTCTTGATGTTTTCCTCGCTCTAGTCCCTTTACCTTGAACTTCTCCCTGAGCTTTGTTTACCCGCACCGCTCCTTTGCTCTCTCTTAATGTCCACGCCCTCCCCTGAAAAGCTACTTTCTTAATATTGCTTCCACTGTGAATGAAAAGTGACCTTAATGTACTTTATTTTGAAGCATTTCTGTTCCTCTGCAGGTAGGAGTTGAAGCTTTTGATCATACATCATGTTTTTGGCATCCATTTTTAACACTTTTCGCTAAAGCATCATTACCCATATCATTGACTTAAAAATGTGTTTCAGGAGGATAGCCGAGCTGTACATCTTTACAGTAACAGCTCTGGGGATCGTTTATAACTTTGAATACTTTTTACAAACTTTTTTTATAGTTATTTACCATTTTTTTTAATCTTTGATTGTATCCTTAATTGTATTAATCTGTGTGAATCTGTGCTGTTTTTCAATCTTACCCTGTTGCTGGTAAAACACTGAATTTCCCCACAGGGATTAATAAAGTTCCATCTTCTCTTATCTTATCTTATCTTAAACCTCCATTTATAACTTAGACTTTAAAACCTTGGTTCAGTTCCAAACCTTCACGTAAAAATGATGTAAAAGGTTGCAAAAGCAGCAAAGTTTGGTCTGTGATGCGTGTGTGTACACAGTATGTGTCTGTGCGTGCATGTGTGCATGTGTCCACATCATTGTTTGTTTGTCTGAATTTGTGTGTGTGAAAGTGTACATGTGTGTTTTTGCAGCCCCCACTCTGTTCCAGATCGTCTGCGTCTCAGAGTGAATCGGGTGAGCCTCCAGGAGTACGACCGACTGCAGTACGACAAAGACCGGCTACGAGACATATGTAAGGATCTTTTAGGTGGCTATAATCTTTTTTTTTTTTTTTAAATCACATGACGACTCACAATGATTATGTAATTTGTGCCTCTCAGCTCATTGTTTTGGTTTTCCAGCCCAGCATGATGCCGTTTTCATTCACTCTCACTGTTCTCAGCCTGTTAACTGCAGATATAAGAGACGAGCTAATAAACATAGTGAAGCATTTAGCAATTAAAAACATTAAGGAGTAGGTAATGAAAGAGAATATTGGAAATACATTCAACAGCTGGACACCAGCATGACTTTAAAATCTGAATCAGAAATTCTTTATTCACCCCTGGGTGAAATTGAGCTTTGCGACAGTGGTTCCATTAAGTATTTATAGAAAAATAAGAAGTAAGAATAAAAGGTGAATTAAAATTCAATACAAAAATATATTATATAAACATAATAATTGAAAGTAAAGATGTCCTAAAATTAAATAATAAAATATTATACAAACTTGGCAGTTTAGTTATTGGATAAATGATTGATCATGTTGCTTTGTAACTGCTGAATGTGTGAATAGGCACCTGTTGGCTTCACCATATTAGTCTTTTGAAATGTCAATAAATGCAGCCAAGAAAACTCTTTTTTTCAATGTATCATCTTCTAAAGTGTGTTTTTGTATCGCAGCCATCCCTGTAGGCATAGTGGTGGTGAGGGGGGACTGTGACCTGGAGACATGCAGACTCTATATCGACCGATTACAGGAGGCAAGTTTCCCCTTTAATCTTCATCAATGCTCATCATCACTTTAACTTCTGTTCTGTTTCCTCAACATTATTATTTCATGATGCATATTGTTTATACACGGATTATCGCTGGGAATGCTGAGCCGCTCTTTAGCTGTGTGTCAATAACGAGCTAACCTCTGTGTGTGTTTCATTTGAAGTTTGTTGTTAACCTTGAAACCTGTGTGCTGTGATTATTAGGATTTACACCAGGCGCCATCTACTGGCCACAGAGTGCACTATCAGGTACATCCCTTCTAGTCTCTTTTTGCTGTAAAAGCTGGGTTATTATCAGTTTTGGCTTCGTATATAAAATGCCATCTTCCATAGTGTCCTCTTTCACCCTCTGACCCAGATGCTCCAACCTTGAGCAGCCGCTATCTCCCTTAAGGAGGGGCTGCCCTAGCAAGTTGTTATTGTTACCAGTTTGTGACCAGGCAACTGTCGGTCCCATTATTGTTGTGGGACGCCTGGAACACATCCTTCTCGGGGTGTAGATGACCCCGAGCCATAAGCGACAACAACTGTGATTCAGTGTCCTCAGCTGTTTAGTCTATCTATTGAAGAATGTTGATTATTACACTGAACTAGTTAAAACCTGGAGCTACAGGAGGGTGCTTCAGAATTGATTGTGGCATCTCTACCGTGTGGTCAGACACGTGACATGTCTTGTGAATTCTCCGGCCGAAGCTCCAAATAAACCGTCAGTGTTTGCCATCAAAGCTCCAGCTCTCCATCGTGTCTCTCTGAGTCCTGACTCCTATTGCTTCAGAAGTTTCCCCCACACCATCAATAGGAATGTTTACAATACCTCAAATCTGGGGATTTGGACATTTATCTTAAAATATTTGTTTTCAATGTCCAAGATGATATGATATCTTTGTATATTATACTAGAGCTGTAGCTTTACATCACATACATACATATAAATGTGACACATGGAAGATAGACAATTAAGTTAGGTAGAAAATACTTTTGATAAATAAAATATATATGCGTAATTTAAGAAACAAAGAAATACACACAGTAAACACAGTATGATACAAATAAGAACATTATCTTTTTAAAAAGATATAATAATTTCATGAACTAATCACATTTGTATATGATATGATCGTTTAATAGTGATGATATGTTTTGTGATGTTGGCCTATCCTTACAGACAAAGGAATTCCCCTAAAAAAACATGATTAAAACAATAAATAGTTTTTAGTTTTTACAGACCGACACCCATGTTGCGTAGAGTTCTACCTCACCGGGGGGAACCCTTTCTGGACATATAGAAAATAATTTCAACACTACACACTAATGTTCGTGATTATCTCTGTCTGTATTTATGGTTCAGCTGCTCAACAAATAACCTTTAATAATATGTTTCTCTTTTGCTTTCTTTAATTAATCCGACATAAATATCAATGTTTCTCTACATTCAGTTTCTAGTTGGAAGTGATGATGAAGTTCATGAGTCTGATCCGTTTGTGTTCAGGATGAGGTCCGAGGCGTCCCGCGGACAAGTTCAACGAGCAGACTCTCTCCCCACTGGAGCTTCTTGGACTGTGAGTGACTTATTATTATAATTAGGATCAGTGGCAGAGATCAAAATAAAACCAAGGTTTTAAAAAAATATTTTATACATAACTAGATATGAAAATCTTCCAGGATACTAAGTAACTTTTATTGTTGCTTAGCACAATGTAATCCTGTTTTATTACTTAATTTATAAAACTAAAATCAGCTGATCTAGTGATATGATTACACACAGATTTCTTCTTCTTCTTCTTCTTCTTCTTCTTCTTCTTCTAATTATACAGTTGTTTACACATACAGTTTTTCTTTGCTAAGTACTTCCTGTTTACATGCATGTCTCTGCTCTGCAGCCACATCAACTGACCGCTTCTATCGTATCGACAAGGCTCAGGTAAAAACAGATTCAAAATGATTGATGACCAATGTTTCACCTGCTCACATGTGTTGACAATGCTCTGTGTTTGATGCATGTGTGTTTGCAGGAGCACCTCCACTTTGTGACGGAGATCTGTCAGGACGAGGTGTTCATCCTGGACCACGAGGGCCCGTTGGGGGGGCCAGGGTCGTCCACGGGGATGCCTGATCTGGTGGTGGAGCCCTCTTCTGGGTACGTCAGCACACAAACAGAAGATACTGTATTAAAGATTATATCATTTATCAACATTTTGTAAAAACGGCCACTTGCTGCACTTGTCATGTTTTCGACATAAGTGAACCCCAATTGAATTCCTTCTGTCATTTGTTTTTCTAGTGTTTCCTTGACATCAGATGAACAAGGTAAAACACACACACATTAAAATGAATAAAACCTAGTTTGTAGCTGTAGTTTAGCGCCTGTCAAAACAAAAAGTGAAACCTGTAATAATATGATTTTTCATATTGTTGTTGTGAAGTTAAAACTTCTTTGCAGCAATGTTGAGCGCATCATCAAATGAGGGAAACTGGATTCGCCTGTAGATACACTGATATTTATTGAGAGACAGACAATTACGTACGGCCGGGAGATCATCCTAGTTTCACACTGTCCTTGTGCTCCACCAAGGTAATCTCTGCCCCAAAAGACACAAAACATCTAACCAACACGAGGAGAGGCGGGCTCCCAGAAAGCCCGCGTATACCTAATTAGTAGCAGATGTGAGACAATGGTCTACTTGTCTCAAAGAGATCCAGACAAGCCTCAACCTACACAGGGGTCTTTGACTGACTACAAGCAGATGTTTGCAGTATCACAGATTCTATAAAACAATAAGAAACTCTATAAACAGATCAGATGAAAATATTCTCTTACAGATTCACTCTTTTTATCAATCTATTGATAACCAATTAACATTAGTCTAAGAATATTTCAGTCAATACTTAAAATCAATAAGCGTCCTCAGAGTTGGGTGGGCTCAGATACATTCATTACATTAAAAATAGAACAAGATTGAAAAACACTTCAATCACCATGATTGAACACAGTCAATCATAATAAAAATCACCTCTCTTCAGTGCTTGGCATTTTTGTCAAAAGGTACAATAATAAACACATAGGATACAAAATATTATAGCAAAATATATGTTTCAAAAATAAGATATTTTATCATTTATCACTCAGTTAATCTCATTCATCAAACACAAATTCTAAATCAGCTTACATCTCAAAGATTTACTTTAAGGCAATTACTTATTAAAACACAATTAGAATTTAGGATTTATAATAAATCCAATTGAGGTATAAATCAGAATCATGAGAGATCCAGCTAAGGTTCCTAGTTAAGGTATAAATTCACAGTGATGAATCGATCAATCTGTAATCTGTAAAGTTACAGTGTCCTCAATCTTTAACATTACTTTACGTTTACTTCATTACGCTTTATTCAAGAGTAAGGCATGATATTTAATTAATTACATTACTTCAACTATCAATCATTATGTCATTTCAAAATCTGAAGGGAAAACTAAACAATTCTCAAAATGTTTAACAATCTGAAGAATCAAACATTTTATTGTATAACAACCTGAAAAGGAAAAAATCAAAACATCTGTTCTTTATTCAGAGCATCAACTGTAATCAATTTCAAAACATCTGTTTTACCTGGTAATGATTAAGGATAGTAACATTGTCTGTTATAATATTAGAAATATCTTATTGTTCAATACCTTATAAATCTGAAAATATCAATTAATTAATTTAGTGTGAAAGTGTAATCTGATAAAATATATTTATCACCACTATTTAACACATATCTGTTCATTGGGAATACAAAAACAATCATTAATTGTACATCTGTAATCATCTGGTCATTCAATTCAATGTTATCTTTGTACGAGAGCCAGAAGACATGTTTTCCTCCTCTCTTTATGACACAGAATGTCTGGTGTGTAAAGGCATCCTGATACTGTAGATTAGCACTGAGGTGCTGATTGGCTCAAAACTCTTCTTCATCAGAGCGCCATAACTCAATTATCTGTAGATTAGCACTGAGGTGCTGATTGGCTCAAAACTCTTCTTCATCAGAGCGCCATATCTCAATCCCCCCCAATTGCTCTGCTTTTGTGGCTCAATTCAGTGAGCACTTTATGATCTCCCAGTGAAACAGAGGCTCATCTGCCTGCATTCCTTCTGCTATCTGCTTGAGAGCAGTGCACCTGCCTATTCCAAGTGGCACATCCAGATGCCCCCCCCCGTGATGGGAGAGGTTATGAAAACATCTGCTCCTCCAATGAAACATGGAAACCTTGTATGAAGCCATCGCTCGTCCTGCGAGCGAAAATGAAGAAGCATCCCATCTCATCAGAAAGTTGAAGATTAGAATCCTCTCATCTCGAACGACCTCCTTGCCCGTGGATAAGTTGCTCTCTGCAGCCGCAGAGTGTGATCCTCTCTCTCTGACCCTTGGCCTTCAGAGCTGTCCTAGTTATTGGGTTAACACTTGATAGGGATGTTTTCCTGAGTGCAGACAACTCAAGGTAATGGATTAGCACATTATCATTCAATTACAAAAATAGGATAGGCCCCCTCAGAATGATTTGGGAGCCTTCCTGACACATGCACATTATAAATGTAAGGTTTGTGTTAGTCATTTAACATGCAAGAATCATATACTCATCAGTCCAAAGCAGATAAATGTTATTTTAAGTTAAATGTGAGCTAGTCCCTGTGGAATAACCCTTTCTCAATGATTCTAGATGTTATATTAATTCACCATTTACCGTTTGATCAAGGATTAGTTTATCAGGAGTACATTTCCTCTTCCATAAAACATAGGTTTGAGAAATTAATGTTCCAATATGAAATCAATTGCTCAATTTCTCAATATAATTTGACTCTTCCCTCCCTTTTCTTACATATTGTCACATATGAAATAATAACTTAGGAGTCTATCTAAGCATGGTATTGTCTATATAAGCTATTAATCGAGAAAACTCAGTCAGTATGCAACTCGCAAATATCTCTCCTCCTTCCTATCCCTCTCTTCCACATCTCCCTCTCATCCCTCTCTCTTATTTCTGTTAGATATGAAGGAAAAACATACAAGTCCATTTAAGCATCTGAGTTACCACCGTTACCAAACGGGTGTGCCGCGGCACACTGGTGTGCGTGAGGCAAATCCGGGTGTGCCGTGGGATTTTGTGACAACCATACATTATTTTTTCAATATACAACTACACAAAAATAATCATTTATTTTTTTTAATTTACTATATCAGTACTTTGTAGGTTTATGTACGTAATCTGCGCGACTTGCGCGTCCACATCTCCACGTGCAGTGCTGCATAAACATGGCTGAGTCAGCGATAACTATCGAGGGGTGGAGGTATGCCCATTATTTTATATCACGCAGTCTATTCTTCTTCTCTGTCTTCCGGTTGTTGCCTGTATTAAATGACAAATACACACTACCGCCATGGATTTGATATGAACGAGGCGGCAGTTAGCAGCTAGCGGCTAGCTAGTAATGATCTAGTGATATCGGTAATATTAACTCCATTTAATACAACATTTACGGTACAAGATTCAATCATACAGCCCATGTAGTATGACAATGAATTACAGCAAACATGTGCAATATATCCATTATTACAGCTCCGTGGGATGGCAGTAAGACGATATGGATCCGTTCCCATTGTGCATCCATGGGTAAAGATAAACGCAACTCACATTGGTTCCTCATACAGCATCTCTGTAAACTACGTGTATTCACTGAATTTCACTCTCTGCCTTTAACGCTCGTTGTAGCTTCAAAAGCTCCAGCCAGAGCCTGGCTCCAGCACCCTCCCATGAACGTGCCGGGCGGCGCGGTCCCGTGGATTAGATGCGCGTTCATAATGCAGAGGGAAATAACTCTCAGAATAACGTTATTAGCAAATGTTTTACAACTTGAGGAACGAATGTTTTTTTTAATAAGGGCTATACAAGTGTTCATACTGGGTAGTTTATTTAGTTAAAAAATTATCCAACGAGTTACAGACCACTCTTTCCCCATGTAAGTCAATGGGAAAAGTGTTTTCGGGCCTGGCAACCAAACCGGAAGTGTAGTACCGCCGTTTGGCCAGCACGAATATTTTCATCTGAGTCCGGCGCACTACCTGGGGGCTTGACTACCGCCGCCTGCTGGTAAGGAAAGTTATTGCCACTCACGCATGCGCAGTTTGTACGTGCTCGGCGAGGAAAGTAACGAGTAAAGTACCGAGTTACTTTATGTAGATAGTAACGAAGTAGTGTAATATATTACATTTTTTTTTAAAGTAATACATTTATAATTTGTAGTTCCGGACCATGGACAATGCAGCTTCCTTGCATTGACAGTTGTCTGTGTTGAATTTCTGCTGAGTTTCTTTTGCCTCATTTTCTATTTTGTGACCTGTCTGGTGTAAATGAGTGTGTTGCTGGTTTGATGAAGCCTAATTTGATAAAGTTTCAAATTAATTCCGGAAATATTTCGTAATATATTTGTCTTTGTCACATTTTATTTGGCATTAGTAAATAATTATGCACATTTACAGATACTTTACATAATATGAGTGATAACACGTGTTATAAGGGCTATCTTTTCACAATAGGTGTGCCTTGAGATTTTTTTTACTTGTCCTTTGGTGTGCCTTGGGCACAACAAAGTTTGGGAACCACTGGCATAAATGATAGTGGGCGTCTGAGGGTGACATTACTGAGAAATGTCAAAGAAATTCAAAACCTTACATTTTAAAACAGGTTTGCATTCCTCCACTTAAGGTGACGTTATCATTGGAAACAATAAACCGAACTATTTTGATGTAGAATTTATAAATTGAATCGTTAGAGCAGAACAAAATGGTTGTATTGTAGCCTGAGTTCCGTGCAGCCCTAGTTTCAACAGGTGTAAACATGGTCCATATAATGTGAATACATGCAGAAGTAGACAGTAAGAGGCCCCTGACATCGTATTTGTTAAAATAGTAGGGGCTCTTCACTCTGCATAGCAGTATGAATAGCCTTAAAAAACAAACAACCCACTCCGTGGTAACCAGAGTCATATTTCTGACCCATATGCCCTAAGTGAAGCCGTTAGTCTCATCTAACTGACCCAAGGGTTGGTGCTGGTGTGACAGTTCCAAGTGTTCCAGCTTCCAGTTCATGGCTCGGTGGGGGGGAGCAGACCCACGTGAGACAGTGTCAATGGCTGTATTGTTTAGTGTGAGGAGCGTCATTCTCTCTGGGAGCAGGAAATGGTGTCCATTCTCGGACCAAACCATTAATGTCATGTAGAGCAGCCATAGCATCTCTGTGACTGCACTCAGCCGGACTGTAGCAGGGTAGAACTGGGTGACTCTTAGTGAAGCTGTCCAACGCCATTAGACAAAATGGAACCACGTGCTAACAAAAAGGACACAGGGTCATCAAGTCTCTCTTTACCATTGGCCTAATCATAAACAAATTAGTGGGAAAAATGTGGAACACTAATCCATCATGTGGAATGTTGAGTTAATTTAAATAATTACTTATGGGTTGAAATCAAATTAACATTAACATTAGAACCAAAGTCAGTTAACAAATTTGACTTGCACAGATCAGTAATCAATACACCATTTTTTCCAGCTCCTTGATGAAAACGATAACAGGCAGGGATGCAAACTTGTCATCAATAAAATATAATTGGGGTATGGACAGGGTTGCTAACTTTGGGTACCTGGCTGGAGTGAGATTTTGATATCATGGGTTTAATTACACACATGCGCACGAAGCGACTGCTATCGTGTCCGTAGCGGGACCTTAGCATATATTTAGGATATATATATATAATATATATATACAAATACACAATATTGGACACAGACTATAAAGGGCACACAGTTTCATTAAATAATGAAAGTCAAACACATGTTTGTTTCCACTGTGTTATTGTGTGCCTGTCGCGATAAGCAACTTATTGACTTATCGGCTCCCGAGTATTTGTGTTAGATAATCTATGGTAGGGCTAACCCATACAGTGGTGGGGCTCAAATCAGTATTTGAAATGTAATTACATACACGCTATATCGCCCCCTTGTCAGTGAAACGCCACGCGTGAGGTTTAGAATATTTCCCTGTCTCAATCCAAATTGAACTGTATGAAATTAAAATAAAATAAAAACATTTGTCTTGTAGTAAATAAAAAGGCGACCTGGAGCCAATCCTGCCATTTCCTCACAAGTGAAAGATTTCACATGCTGAAAACCCAACCCCCGCAGGGGGTCTGGGGGGATTCTCCACCAGGAGATTTTTGAAATACTAACATAAAATACACATTCTCTCTTTTAGAGGAAAAAATAAATCCATCTATATCTACGCGACATATTTAAATGAAGCTGAAACTGCTGCTCCTCCCATAGGGAAGAGGCTGTGTGAATTACTTCGAATTACTTTGAAATTACCCCATTGTTCTTTGTGTCAAAATGGAAGGTTTCTGGCTAACGTTAGCTTAGGTACTCAGATCTTGTTCTTGAGTACAAGTAGAAGTACCAGAGTGTAGGAATACTAAGTTACAGTAAAAGTACTGCATTCAAAATGTTACTCAAGTAAAAGTATAAAAGTATTGTCATCAAAATATAGTGAAAATAGCGACAGTAAAAGTAGTCGTTGTGCAGATTGGTTTATTTCAGAATAATATATATGATATGTTTTATAATGATTGATCATTAAAGTGTTCTCAAAGCTGGTAAAGGTGCAGCTAGTTTGAATGACTTTGTATACTGCAGGGTAGCTGGTGGATTCACTCCAGGTGGAACTAAAGTCTGATTAAACACTTGGTTATATTTCACATCATTCATCCACATCTGTGAAGTAACTAAAGGTATTAAATACATGTAGTGGAGTAAAAGTACACCATGTACCACTGAACTGTAGTGGAGTAGAAAAATAAAGCAGCAAAACATTTTAGATACTCAAATAAAGTACCAGTATCTCAAAATTGTGCCCAAGTATAGGACTTGTGGAGTTTATGAACTTAGTTACTTTACACCAGTGGCTATACAGATAGAAAGACTAAGCCTTGCACAGAGGCAAGAAAAGACATTTTCAAAATGCTCAAAAGTTCTGCCAAAAAAAAACTGACTGCTGAAATTAGATCTTCCTTTGTGCTGTGGTCATAAAACCTCCAATGGGTCGCGCCGTGGTCTGCTTCAGATTATCTTCTCCTTCCAGAGGTCACGCCTGTCTCTGACCCCGTGTCTTGCGTTTTATTTTATTTTCTTCTTCTGCCGCACCAAGCAGAGTATAGAAAAGGATGTTGAACTATATTTAAAACTGTAATTGAACTTCAACTCATATCCATTATCTGATTCCAGTGGCCAGTTGGAAACAGATAATGACAAAGTTTTCATTTTGCATCAATCGTGCAAAAGGTTCAATCACCATTGTGTCTAAGTCTTGTCTTATCTGCTTTGTTTCGGAATGTGTTCAATACATTAGGTTATTTTATTTTCATTATTACCATACAATACATAGATTAAGAATAAATGAAACAAATAATATAACATTGACCTATTTGAGCAGACAGATGACCCGCAGTTATGCCTCTGAGGTTCCCGGGTGTAAAACAGAGGCTTTTTTTTGCTATTTATTTTCCTTTTGCGGAAATTTAGATTCATTTGACCTTGGCTGTGGACTGATTCATTTATTAGTTGTTACAAAAACATGCACAAGACGGCAGGTATACAAACAAACACGAAACAATTATACAAACAAACATGAACCCGCAACAAATATCAGGTGACAGATAAACTCATCCAGTTTAATTTTAATCCGAATTAGGGAAACTTCAGCGGGGGTAGGGAAATATCAGTACTTATTTTTACTTATTGTTTTTTTTTTTTTTTTTTTTTTTTTTTTTTAATTTAATTTTTTTAAACAAAATCCAATTCAATAATCCGTAAGTTTATTAAACACAGTGTGAATGTAATATTCTGCCACCACCCTTCCCATTTAATAGCTCAATTTAGTTCTTGAGCTTATGGTGTGATTAACAGAAAATACAAGTCTGTGTTGTTAAACATTAATTCAGTTGATGAGCAATAAACGACCTTATTCTCAATCAAAACCACTATGCAAATGTAGTGGTAAAACTGCTCAACCGACCGAGAGCAGAGATATTAATTAATTTAATTAATTCTAAGAACGGAATCTGCTGAAGAGTAATAACCACATTATTCTCAATCAACAACCACTATGCTAATTTAGTGGTGCTCTGCCCTCCCCGATCCGGAGAGCAGAGACTTTTAATGAATTCAGTACCCTTTATTTTAACAACAGCCAAATTCAACAACCCCTCAGTTTATGAAACACAGCGTGACGTAATATTTCGTATCACGTTTCCCGTTAATAAGAGTTCTGTTTAGTTTCAAAACTCATAATGGTGCGATTTAAGAAGATACGACACTGTGCTGTGTTTATCCTCGTGTGTGCTGCTCCCACAGGGGGGGGGGGGGGGGAAGTTGCCCACACCCTGCACCCGCAGCAGCAACAGGAAAATTTCGAGGCGAGTTGATTTAACTAGTTAAACCGTTGAAATCTCCAGAATTCGGCGATTCGTTTCAGTACAAATCTTTCACATTGCTTTTAAACCGAAGTTCCACATTACTGATGCCCTCTTTAAGGTCTCTCCGAATGTTTGCCGTGCACACACACAGAGGAAACCAAAAATATTGCATCTATCTGTTCCACAGGTAATTTTATACCGTCAATCACAGAGTCTGGCGAGACAATGTCAAAATATAGATTTGAAATTACACTCACCAGCTCGACGATTTGTTGGTAACCGTTCGCGACGCCAATTGTGAAGTAAAAACTTCTTTGCAGCAATGTTGAGCGCATCATCAAATGAGGGAAACTGGATTCGCCTGTAGATACACTGATATTTATTGAGAGACAGACAATTACGTACGGCCGGGAGATCATCCTAGTTTCACACTGTCCTTGTGCTCCACCAAGGTAATCTCTGCCCCAAAAGACACAAAACATCTAACCAACACGAGGAGAGGCGGGCTCCCAGAAAGCCCGCGTATACCTAATTAGTAGCAGATGTGAGACAATAGTCTACTTGTCTCAAAGAGATCCAGACAAGCCTCAACCTACACAGGAGTCTTTGACTGACTACAAGCAGATGTTTGCAGTATCACAGATTTTATAAAACAATAAGAAACTCTATAAACAGATCAGATGAAAATATTCTCTTACAGTTGTGGTACTTTAAGACAGGAATATGCCTTATTTTAGCTTCCTATGAACCACTTCTGTGTAATTGTATCTATAAGTAATGTCCAAAGAGATATCTACAGATGCAAATTACAAAAAGCAAATGTTTCAGCCTGAATAACTTTTCAGAAAAAACTGCTGTCAGCCCCTTATTCCTCATTTTCAGGCTTGTTATGACAATAACAATAACAATAAAACTCCTTGGGGATTTGTTCTGGAGAAGCTGGAAGATATTTATGGTGTCATGTGAGAAATAAGTTATTTGTATTCCTGGGACTCTCCAGTCTGTTGAACCCTTTGTCCGAACAGGTTTCATGTGTATCCACTTTCAGTTTTGCTTGCCCTTCAAACAACACCGAGCTCAGTCCCCACTCATAGATTTAAAAAAAAAATGACTTGTTCTCAAGTTTGTTTGTTGTTGTGTTGTGTCTTCATATCATTTCCAGATACATGTTAAAGATTGACAGAAACAACATTTTCTCATAAAATTACATACGTGACGTTAAAACCTCAAAATCACTGTTGTTGTGGCACATTGTTTTAGTTGAATGTGATCAAACGTTTTTTGGTGCCTTTAGCTCCCTAAGAATCACTTATAAATCCTGGTGTATAAAACGAGTCAAAATGAAGGCAGGCAATCGGGTTCATTTGTCATTAAGTATTTTTTTAACTGTGGTTTTTAGAGCAGTTTGATGGCTCCAGAGATAAAATATTCTGCTACATGGAAATATGTTTGACTGTCACCTGTCTGGTCAATTCCCTGACAGACTTTGCATTTGCAAGGAAGTGAAACTGAAAGTTCAAAGTCAAGAGTTCAAGAGTCCCAGCAGAGAGGATAACATAATCATTATGTTATCCTTTCTCTTCCTTTTTCTTAAGGTTTGTAAAAAGAGTCAGACAGTTTTTCAACATACAGGCAGATATGTTTATCAAAAGTGGAATATGTTTGCAGATCAACAAGTGTTTCCATGGAAATCGACTTAATATGCAGTGTCATGATGATGATTTCTGTCTTTCTGTTTGTTTACAGCCCTGCTCACAGCTGCCAGTACAGGAGATCTTTCTATGGTAATCCCTCAGACACACACACACACACACCGCTGATATAGAAACCATTTTAACCTGTTGTCATCCGCTGCATTTAACTGACATTGAACACTCAGACAAACATCCTTTGTTAAACCACTTCCTTAAATCTCTGAACAGTGTTTACAAGCATTGCCCAAAGCAATTTTTAAGAACCAGTGCAGGAAGCAGGCTCAAGAAAACACAGGATATCCATTGAATTTTCATGGTAAACCATGCTATATATTACGAAAATACATAAATGCCAACGTTTTTTAAACGAGCTCAAAATTAGCTAATAGCTAAATCTGGCATAAATCCTCTCTTCTCTTTTTTTTTCAGATGAATGTTTTATATATATGATCCTTGTTAATAAGTGGAGTAATAGTGAGCACTCTGTATTTCCCTTGTCTTCTAAAACCCTAACCTGTTTCCTGTGTGTGTCTCCAGCTGACGGAGTGTGTGCGTCGGGGCGTCAGTCTGTTGGTCAGAGACTCTGTAGGATGCTCAGCGCTACATATAGCGTCTCACAGCGGACACACAGAGCTGGTCAGCTTCATCCTGCAACAGGGTGAGGATGTGCATGATGCAGTGAAGTGTGACACATGATTTTAAAGCTGCTTTTTAGGGTATTTCAGATGTAAAAATCGTGTCTAATACTCTAAACAAAGAGCCATTACAGCCTTACAAATGTTGTTATTTAAGTCGGTTTCCCGGTGTAAGGGAGTTCTACTGCATATGTAACAAAGTCATATAAAGGCTTTAATAACCCAGAGAGAGCTGTATAAAGTCCTCAAGTAAGGCCACTACATTTAAAACTATAAGTAGAAATAACAAAACAAAACCTGAAGATGTGACGTTCGAAAAATGTATCTCTGTAGCCCGCTCCCCATCTTTACTATATCTTTAAAACTCATTGCTACATTAGACACTCCTATTTAGACACATCTGAATCTCCAACCAAACTGTTGGACGTCAAGTGGCATTGTGGGTAATGTAGGCCAAGACGAATGTTTGCCATTAAAGAGACCTGATGTGATTCTGCTGCGTCCATGTTTATATTTGTGTGCCCATCATGAGTTTGACATTGTTGTAGGAATATTACTTTAAGATAAATGTGTATTTATTTAATACAGTAAATGATCATTGTCATCAAAGCTGCTCCTGCTTCCTCCTCTTCAGGCTCTAAGGTGCTTCTGGATTTGACGGACAGAGAAAAGTATGTAACCTATTTATAAAAAAAAAAGTTACTTAAGGATTCATTCTGCTAGAGTAATATACTTATAACTGTTAAAAAACCACATACCCTTATAGTGTGAGATGTTTCATGCCATCATACCTCAATCCTGTTTTATCTGCTTTCTGTTTGACGTCAGTGTGGTCTTCACCTGATCAAAACAACCACAATGACGTGTGTGACATTTTGAGTATCACAACTTACCTTTGTGTGTGTGTGCAGAGGAGACACTGCCTTGCACAAAGCAGCCTCAGAGAAGCATCACGCCGTGTGCAGACTGCTGGTGCAGGCTGGGGCGTCGCTCGAGAAGACCAACTTCCAGGTGAACACACTCACTCACACACACACACACACACTTCCCGTAAGTCTGGCTGAGTCGTGTCTGGAAGGAGAGCAGCAGGTAAATGATTCACAGAGAAACAAGTTCACTGGATCTTTCTAGGGTGTGTCTCAGGGGGAGCCCCGTCCTAATCTGTATGCAGGAATGTTTTAGCTTTAGAAAACTGAGCTGTGTGTTTGTGTTTGCTCTGGGTTCACTACAAGGTTAAACTGTATAAATCCCAAAGAAATGATTCTGCCAGAGATAAAATAACATAACAATATAACAAAAGCACAAGGATTAAAAGAGAAGGAAAACTATAGAGTAATATATGTACAGTTTATAAAACGGACAAGTCAAATCAAGCAATCTGATTGGTTCTTAGCCGTGATATACTGAGCATATACCACGGGTAGAATTGTAAGTTACTTTTCACAACAAATCAGTATCCCTCCGCGTCTGAGAAAAAAAATGTATACCGTTATACCGAAAAACAGTATACCGTTGGGCTGAAAAGCAAACTGCTTCGCGTCGGGCCGAACCACGCCCCTTAGCTGTGATATAATGAGCATATACCACGGCCTGTCGTGAGCTATTGCTTAAATATAAAGGACATAACAATAATTCACTTGCAACTAAGAACATTTTAGTCAAATTAATAAGCTATAATTGTAGAAAAGGCCCCAAAGTTATAGTTATTGATATATATATATATATATATATTATTTTATTATACAGAGATACCTGTTAAGTTGTGCCTTCATAGTGGGGAGGGGCTAACCCACTTGTTTTGAGTGACGTCACACATCAGAGGGTGGAGCTCCCATGCCGAATTTGAACATTTGCTTTATCGTGTGTCCATCTGGTGTCAATTTCAGCACAGTGTGACAGGGGTTCTATTTCGTCCCTACTGACCGCCAGAGGCGGTGCTTTAAGCACTGGATATGTCCATCGCGCGCATGCGCAGCTCGAGTACCAATAACAACAAAGTCACCTGTGACCCACGTGACACCGGCTATATCAGCCGGTGTCGTCAGAGGATCTGTTCCTTTCATCTTCTCGCTGCGCGAGGGTACCGTGGCTACATTTTTGTAGCCTACAGCGTTCAGGTTTGAACGTTTTGATCGGAGGGATTGCTCTGCAAGCAGCTGGCCGCGTGCAGCTTCGCGACTGACAGTCGGAGCTACGGGTCGTTAACGCGTCCTCCAGGAGCTGTGGCCGGTTGTGCGCTGTCAGCTTGTTGCTGGTGATGGCTGTGTCCCCGCACCCTCTCCCAGCCAAGTTGTCCTGATTGCTGTCTTATTTTTGGTTTGGCTTAGACTTTCTGGTGACGACAGTGTTCCCGCTTCCTCTCCCATAAAGTTGCCCTTATTCTCTTTTGAAAGTTCTGCTTGTGGCTTTGTGCCCGAGCTATCATTAGCATTTGAGTCCCAGCTTTGGCTGTGTCCCTCATTCAATTTACTATGGAAAGCCCAGAGTGTCATACTTTAAACCCGTTCTTCGTTTATATGCAGAGACTAAGGTAAGTACTTTCTATTTCTATTTCTAGATCGTTGTATTACTGCTCCTAGTACTAGACTCCTAGCACTAGGATGATATGAAGAGAACATATTCACTGCGGGTGCTGTGTGCTCTGCATGTGCGGTTACTACTGTAACCAAGGCCTACGGTTCTATGCGGGCTGTTCTCTTTCTTAGAAGCTAATTATCTGGTCTTAACATTGTGTTCTGACTTGGTTGCTTGATTGTTAGCAGCAGCCGCTTGGCTAACACCTTGCATGTACTGTTAAGCTTCATTATTTAACTCAGCCGGTGAGGGCAGTGCTCTCGGTCCCGCTCCCGGAGAACGCATGGTATGGTTGCAGTAGCGCTATATCGTTGTATTTACTGCTCCTAGTACTAGACTCCTAGCACTAGGACGATATGCAGAGAACAATCTTCACTGTGTGATGTGTGCTCTGCATGTGTGGCCATTAAGGAGGATTTCATCATCCCAATATTATATTATCTAGTGGGCAGCCGTTTGGCTGACACTTTTAGGCACCGGCCACAGTTACTACTGTAACTAAGGTTCTAAGCCGTAAGTACTGGCCATAATTACTACTGTAACTACGGTTCCAAGCCGTGTAAGTACTGGCCATAGTCAATACCGTAACTACGGCTCTATGCTGTGTAAGTACTGGCCATAGTTACTACTGTAACTACGGGTTTAAGCCGTAAGTACTGGCCAGTTACTACTGTAACTACAGTTCCAAGCCGTGCAAGTACTGGCCACAGTCAATACCCAGTGACGTGTGGTGAGGTTCATGGCTGGTGAGGCACTGACTCTTTCAGCGTCAGATTTACAAATATTATATTTTGACCTTAATCGAAATGTTCGGTTATTTTCAAAAGCTTTTTTAGTCTGATGTTTCGATTCATTTTAAACAGACTGTTCAACAAAAGGATACCAAACATCTAAATATTGGATTGTTCTTTCTTAGTAAGATCCCATGTTCATTACAATTGGGGTCTTACCTTGACTTGAAGATGAAGTCCATGCTATCCTTCTGGACAACAATCTCCATTACATTTTTGTAAAAGTCCTCCTTATCTTCCTCTAGTTTCAAAAGTCTAGCTTGTTGTTTGCGTCTGGGTAGAATAACAGTAGCAACAAGAACCTGTGGGCTCACGTGCGCCCCCTTCAGTGCGGCAGAGGTTATGGCTGCCTCTCCTGGTGTTCATTGCCGTTGTATGATGAGACCAGCGGGCCTAAATATCATATAGGCTACGTGAAATAAGTTATTTAGAGACTATGGATGGCGAGGATAAATGTAATAAAGGGATCTACAAACATTACATTGGTGAGATACAGTGAGATGGTGCAGGCATGCGCTTAGGGCCCGCTTTCCAGACAGTTTCTGTGGGGTGACGCATTCTGAGGTGAGGCAGATCTCAGCTGTGCCTCACCTCCCCACACAGTAACTGGCTTGAGCGCGCTCACAAAATGGAGCACTGGAGCGTGCCGCCCAAGCTAGGCAGACCAGGCAGCAGCTCTCGGGTCTTCGCAGACCTGTGCCCACTCCCAGCAGGCCCAGGGGCCGCTCCAGCAGCCGCACTCAGCCGCCAGATTACAGGGGTGGTCTGCAGAGGTCTTAGCGGCCCACTCAACCGCCTCCCAATGACTTCGTGCCCCAGGTCGCCCGCCTTCCAGGCGGCCTCGTGCCCCAGAGCCTTACCGGCGCCCCCCAAGAGGCTCCAGGGGCCGGGGGGCTGGGCCCTGAAATCCCGGGGGCGGTCGTCGGCTGCTTTCCCAGCAGCAGCTCAGTTACTGGGCGGTCTGTACTTCCATCCCTTGGGTGGTTTTCACCTTAACCCAGGGGTACGGACCGCAGTTCCGGCCCCTAGCCTTCGGCTGGGTCTAATTGACAGTCGTCAGCGATCCGGCAGGGGCCCTAGCTCTGGCCCAAGAGTTGTCCGTCCTTCTGTCCAAGGACGCAATCAAGCCAGTAAGACCCTCTGCTTAGCCCAGGGGGTTCTACTCGGCGTACTTTCTCGTGAGCAAGAAAGTCGGCGGATTTCGCCCGATCTTGGACCTCAGAGGAATCAACAGATTCCTGAAGGTGCTGCCATTCTATATGCTGACCACTGCATATGCACAGGTGGAGTGGTTCTCAACCGTGGACTTGAGGGATGCCTACTTCCACGTGGGCCGGGCAAGAGGGTGCCTTATATTCAGTTCCTCCGGCCCTTGGGCAGACTGGCAGCTGCCTCGGCCACTGGGCCCTTAGGCCCGCTGTCGTTGCGCCCCATGCAGATGTGGCTGAACAGCCTTCACTTGGACGCCAAGTGGCACAGGCACAGGGAAGTCAGGGTGTCGCAGCATTGCCTCCACTCTCTGTCACGCTGGAGGGGCAGGGCCTATCTCCTGGTGGGCGTGCCCATGGGCGCCATCCCACCCCGCCAGGAGACAATCACCATAGGTGCATGTCTCTCAGGGTGGGGTGCAGTGCGGCAGGGCAGGACCGTTCAGGGTCAGCGGTCTGCCCAGGAGAGTGCGCGCCAGGTCAACGTGCTAGAGCTTCGGGCTGTGCAGCTTGCACTCATGGACTTTCTACCCCAACTGGGGGGCAAGAATGTGCGTGTTCCTTGGGGACAGCATGTACGTTGTTGCTTAGACAACAGTCCCTTCTAGACAGTGGACGTTCTCACTCCACTCTGAATTTATGTGGCTGCGATTTCTGCCCGACATGTTCGGGTCGACGGCGCCACGGCGGGGTGCCACAGGTCGGTGTCCCTCTTTATGAGAGGGGCTTGACGGCAGCGTCCCCCTAGCACCCTGAGGGCTCCGGCTTGGGACCTGTTCCTGCTGCCGGATGCCCTATCATCTCCTCCCTTCGAGCCCCTGGCCCAGGTGGGGCTTAGGTGGCTGCCCACGAAGGCAGCATTTCTGCTTGCCATAGCCTCAGGGAAGCGAGTTGGGGAGTTGCATGTCCTCTCCATAAACAATACATGCCCGAGGTGGGACTCTCAGGCGTTGCCCTTTGGGTAAATGTGGCATTCCCGCCCAGGGTCCTTCCACAAACCCACTTCAATCAGCCTGCCCAGCTGGCACGCTTTGACATTCAGGAGTACGGCATTCAGGAGTGCTGTGCCCTGGGGGTGCCCAAAGGGCATATATCAAGGCTACTGCCTGTATACGGCAGGAGGAGCAACTCTTGATTTTGCCCTGGCGGCACTAAAGGAGGTTATGCCCTCTAACCAGTGGCTGCCCCACTGGGTTGTCGATACCATCTCACAGGCTTACGGGGCCAGTGGCCGCCCCCTGCCATCAGGCTGAGATGCCACTCTACAAGGAGCATCTCAACATCTTGGGCTGCCCTGAGGGTGGTGCCCCTGGAGACCATCTGCGCCGCGGCGTCGTGGGCGTCTTCTGGCACATTCTCCAGTTGTCATCAGGCCAATGTCGCCACTCCCCATTCTTTGGGCATGGTCCTTTTGCCGAGCTCCGCTGCTTCCAGTGGTGAGCAAGGGCTTGGATTCTTCATGACATTGTTGGTATAAGTCATCCAGTGCTTAAAGCACCGCCTCTGGCGGTCAGTAGGGACGAAATAGAACGATAGTTACGGCTGTAACTACGGTTCTATGAGTCCCGGATGACCGCCAGAGTTCCCTGTCATTCAGAATTCTTGTGTGCTCGCGAGAAGATTCTGGGAACAGATCCTCTGACGACACCGGCTGATATAGCCGGTGTCACGTGGGTCACAGGTGACTTTGTTGTTATTGGTACTCGAGCTGCGCATGCGCGCGATGGACATATCCAGTGCTTAAAGCACCGCCTCTGGCGGTCATCCGGGACTCATAGAACCGTAGTTACAGCCGTAACTATCGCTTTATGGACTGCATAACATTTACAAATCATGAACTGATTACTTGACGGGCTAGATAATAATTCACAACAAGTTTTATAATCCATTAATGTTTTTTCTTGTCTGTCCTCCATCTTTTATCGTTAATTCCCAATTGCAATATCAGTCAAAAATAATCGCAATTAGTTATTTTTAACCAAATCGTGCAGCCCTCTAAATGACAGAAAACTGTGTGTGTGTGTGTGTGTGTGTGTGTGTGTGTGTGTGTGTGTGTGTGTGTGTGTGTGTGTGTGTGTGTGTGTGTGTGTGTGTGTGTGTGTGTGTGTGTGTGTGTGTGTGTGTGTGTGTGTGTGTGTGTGTGTGTGTGTGTGTGTGTGTGTTGTGTGTGTGTGTGTGTGTGTGTGTGTGTGTGTGTGGTGTGTGTGTGTGTGTGTGTGTGTGTGTGTGTAGTGTGTGTGTGTGTGTGTGTGTGTGTGGTGTGTGTGTGTGTGTGTGTGTGTGTGTGTGTGTGTGTGTGTGTGTGTGTGTGTGTGTGTGTGTGTGTGTGTGTGGTGTGTGTGTGTGTGTGTGTGTGTGTGTGTGTGTGTGTGTGTGTGTGTGTTGTGTGTGTGTGTGTGTGTGTGTGTGTGTGTGTGTGTGTGTGTGTGTGTGTGTGTGTGTGTGTGTGTGTGTGTGTGTGTGTGTGTGTGTGTGTGTGTGTGTGTGTGTGTGTGTGTGTGTGTGTGTGTGTGTGTGTGTGTGTGTCCTCCAGGGGAAGACGGCAGCCCAGCAGGCGGAGGGAGACTCTGAGCTCGCCGGCTTCCTGAACGCTCAAAAACACACACCTTCTGCCAACCACGAGGACCTGGAGACGGCTGTCTGAGGCACACACACACACACACTCTCTGGACTCTGCACACACTCGTAGTGGAGACTAATCTGAGAGAGAAAGTGTAAAAAAAAAACAGACTCTGCAGACGAACAGTGAACTGCCTCGGCTCCCAGCAGCACCGCAGTGGACATTTTAACGGTCAAATATTTATTTGTATTTATTTATTCATATTCTATTTATTGGTTGTGCTGATTGACTGAGTGTTTGCTCGTTAAGGGTTCAGGATGTAAGTGCACTTTGAGCGGCCGCCGTGAGCTGAACTCGTGAAAAAAAAGTTCATAAGAATGGGTTCAATGTGTTGATGAAACATTTAGAAAATATTTCTGTTATGACATAAATACTACAGTTTTATATATGTTTACCCTATGTGTGCCAAAGACATTACAGTCATGTAGTGTCATATCTATTTAATGTTCCTAGAAACTATCACAGTGGTTTGTTTTTCACATAAATCTCTGCTTTCATACCAAATGATGTAATCTTGATGTTTCCATCAGCATACCAGGGTCCACACTTTGATCAGGTTATTAAAGAATAATCTTATTTCAACTGTCTCACATTAGTCTGAGTTCAGAAGGAAGGAAACTTTATTTGTTATCGCATCTTGTTTCCAACGTTCACATATACAAATACTGAAACAAAACAAGTACAGGCAGTGGTCTAATGTTTGGGATATTAAACAAATAAAATACTAGTTAAATACACACATTTAATAAGAATATAACATAAATATATATATATATGTTGGTTGCATACTAACTTTATTCTTAGGGTTCGTACAAGGTTGGGAAATGCTTCATTTTAACTTTAGAGTAAAATAATAAAAATATGGTAAAGGCTTTTGAGTTTAGGAACCTTTAAAGTGCTTGAAACTTAAACATTTTACATTTCCAGGCCTTAATAATAATAATAACATTTGTATACGGCTGCTTCAAGTTTATATTGATTTGTATCATAAGATAGATACATTTTGGAATTACTGGTTTATTCTACAAAGTTAATTCCGGAAGAACACATCTCTTGATTAATGCTAACCTTGTTTACAGAACGTCTGGACACAGATGGTAAAAATTGAAATCTGAAATATAAAACTAAGCCTGTATCGGCTCAGTATGGAGGGGGAAAAAACACAAAAATTACCCATAATGCAGGCTGTTAATTATGGAGGACCTTTTTTTTTTAATTGTGTCTTAAAACATAATCAATTATTTTTTATATTTTAAGACGTCTGACTCTGACACTGTTAAATATTTTAATAAATAATATTTAACTTTTATTACTGTGCCCTTGACCCAACAACACTTTCATACGCAGCTTGTGTGTGTGTGTGTGATAATATTCCTCATTCCATATCAAAGCAAACATTAAAAGAGAACGTGTGTGTGTGTGTGTGTGTGTGTGTGTGTGTGTGTGTGTGTGTGTGTGTGTGTGTGTGTGTGTGTGTGTGTGTGTGTGTGTGTGTGTGTGTGTGTGTGTGTGTGTGTGTGTGTGTGTGTGTGTGTGTGTGTGGTGTGTGTGTGTGTGTGTGTGGTGTGTGTGTGTGTGTGTGTGTGTGTGTGTGTGTGTGTGTGTGTGTGTGTGTGTGTGGCAGCATTTATCCAAGAAGAAAAGAAACGATCGGAGCCATATTCAATGCAATATGAATAGATGACGTCTCTTTTCATTTCTATATTAATCGTTTACATTACATTAATGTTTTGACCATTTAGCACCGAGGAGTATTGAATGTTTGATTTGACTTCAGCTTCAGTGCTGGTTGGGTAAATGTTTGTCTTGTTATTTAATTTTTATTTTGTGTGCATGAATGTCCATGGATTTAAAACAGCCCTGTTAGGTTTCTTTTCATGTAACCTGTAAAGTTCGAGCTGTTTTCTCCAAAGCATGTGAGGAACTATTCAGTGTATCAAGTGTAGCCGTCGTAGAAGTTTGAAGGCTTTTAAACCTAATGTACATTATTGAACGCAACAACATGGGGAAATCACATTTTCAATAAGACTTTTTTTACGAGTAATTGCTTAAGTTTGATGTTTTTATACTGATTTATTCCTGTTTTCTTTCACACAGAGAGGAAGCTTTATTCTTATTACTTATTAGACTTCTTCCAGAGCTTTCAGATATATTTGCCAGACTTCCTTCTTATGACTAAAAGCTCCCGAAGACATCAAATGTTCATAAAACCTTTTTAATATTTCCATGATGAAGAATTCACCTTTCAGGTTGTATTTTTAGGTTTATAGAAGTCAAAATGATTCATCATTAACTTATTAACACAGGTTTTTCTTCGCTTTTAATATAAAAGGACAATGTACTTGTCATAGTTAGTCCTCCTAATGAAATGATAATGCTTCTCAAATTTGGAAAAAAAAAATCGAAATTAAAAAAAAGTCAAGTAACCAGAAATAAACCTCAGTATTTTTTTCGAGACATTAGATTTTATTTTCATATTTCAACCTAGTATTTGATTAGTTTCTCGTTGTTATAGCAAATAAAAAGCAAAAATTGCTAACAAATATATTAATAAACTGGCAAAGTCAAACATTGTTTTCTTTTCAAATTAAAAACAATGTTTTGCTTTGGGGTGACATTAAATTCAGTGTTAAAAGTTACACAATTATAAAAAAAAAGCTCATATGGCACTCCTGGCTTACAGCTTTTCCTTTTAACAATGTTTGGGATATTCTGCTTCACATTCCTTGACCAAATCCAAATGTTTAGATTAGAAATGTGAGTTTTCCTGTCCAACTTTGTTAAATCCTCAAATGTTTTAAGCCGAAGGACTTCTACGATGGCTACCACTTTCACCCTCCAACTCTGAGACTTCCTCTGAGTGTCTGGAGATTATACAACAGAACATGTGTGTAAATGAAATCCTGACCTTTCCTACAAAGAGACTATATGATAGTCAAAAGCTCTGAAGGACATGCACACACGCTTCTCATCGAGTAGAAACGTTGTATTAAATCGTCTCTCATCAGCGTTAGTTTATGCATGGCGTTTCCTTACCTCCTTCCTCTGGGTTATGTTCTGGTAATGGCATAAAAGATGGCATTATTGTTGTTTTTAATTATTATAGTTTTAAATGGTTTCTACCTGACTTTCCTCTGAGGTTGGACTTTTGCTTTTGTATTTTTCTGCTGCTGATGATGATGATGGGATTACTTGAAGTTTGTTGTTTTATTTTATTAATTTGTTAAAAGAAGATGTGATGCTGTGAGTTTTGCCTCTGACGTTATTTCCTGTCTGAATCTATTTCTAACTGTTTCCTCTTTCTAAAGCTAAAAACATTGTTCTGGAAACAACAGGATGTAATGAAGAAGTTATTTTTCGAATGCAAAATGCTCCATAGTGTGCTTTATAATGTGTTTTTTTATCTTTGGGTTAAAAGAGCAGCATCTAATATACTACGAATAATAATAGTAATCATTATTATCATTGTATATAGATACACTTTGAAAATCCACATTAAAAAGTGCTTCACAAAAGCAGCAAAATAGACCTAAATCATTAAAACAGATAGAAAAACAGTAAAGTGTATTCAAACCGCATTGTGTAGAAAGAGTGAATATAGGAAATAAAAGGATATTTAAAGATTGAATATATCTTTATATATATATATATAAAACATTTGAAGTACTAACCTAGACACTAGGATTGTTAATATCTAATAACCTTCAGTATGGTATAAAACATTCCTGTAAATCATTATCAGTTGTTTAAAAGGGTGTGTAAAGTTATATTGGTGTGTTCAAAAGTCAAAAAGTGCTGATATAATATTTCTAATTGGTCACATGCTGCCAGTTCAAACACTTTAACCTCTTTTAAATCTTCTTTGTGCTTCAGAAATCCAAGAGGAAATAAACGTTCCTCCATACAGCTGTGAGAACTCCACCCTGAATGTGACATAAGACTGTGAGGCTTTTGAGACAGCTGAGTCACATGGGCGGGAGTTTCCAGTGTTTACTGCCAGCATGTAACAGACTAATATACCTTTGGGAAAAAGAAGTGAGATCAAAACGTCCCTCTGTGGACTGAACCGTCCAAATTCCTATTGTTATTGAGCAGTTAAAGGAGTTCTTGCCCATATTGTCTTCAAAAAAATCCAGAATTAAGGAGCTTTTGGTTGTACATTTCATATTACAACCAAAAGCTCTAAAACAGATTATTATTATTCAACCTTTTTTCACTGTTTTTTTTCTCCCAATTGTGACATTTTATCTCATAATCTTGACTTGTTATTTCAGTTTTCCTTTTCACTAGTGGAAATGGGCTTCCATAGCCTTTTCTAGACCATTGATTCCCAACTTAACTTTTCTGTTACTTCACTTGTGTCCCCTTTACACGATCTAATTCTTATCAACAGTTTAAAATGTCAAAGTATGTATCATCAGTTTAATTTATTTTATTATATTAAGAGTAACATGACCGCTGAGTCAGCATCAGGTTGAGTCATGTTTGGATAAAGGCTGGGTTGCACTTATTTGAGGTCACGAGTCAGGCATGGCAGCATATGTAAAGGAAAAGAAAATGATCACTTCTTGGAAAAAGGAATTTCTCTCGTAAAACAATTGAAGTCTTTTGATAAGTATTTCATAACTGACACGAATACTCAAAACAAAAGCATGTTTGGTTTTCTGTTTATCACTAACATAAAAAGGATCTAGAAGTGTCCTTCACAACAAAAAACTCCAACTGATCGGTTATACATTTGGTGAACTTTTTAAATGTTATGGGAAGAAAAAAAACATACATATTTATTTGAGAGATATATAAAGGTTGTACAGTCATTTCATTTGAGTAATCTTATAATTTTAGAATTAATAAAGTTTCAATTCATAATATTTTACTGTGTCTTTTAGTAGGAAATCCTTTGTGTTTCGGCTAGAAGGAGCAATGTAGTAAAACATAATTGTGTAGGCTTTTTTCAGAGTACTCACATTTGGAAAATTGTATCTACTTTTGGTTAAACTGTGAAAATAAGCCCAACATTATCATAGAAATCAAAATGTATGTGTATTTGTTGTGTTGTTGATTGTTGAGCACCCAATGTCCCTCGTTCTGAAAAGTACCGGTAATACTAATATTGCATCATCACGTAATACGTCAAAATACGTGATGACGTACGCCGACATGTGACCCGACTCTTTAAAACTTCAGAGGATCAGTTGCTGAGCGGTAGTGGAAGAAGAATCCTTTCCGGATAATTTAGCTACTTTTTTAATAATTTCGACCGTAAGTACTCATGTTTTATGTCTTAAAATGCTATATTTGAATGGAGTTAGTGTTATTAAGTGTGTATTTGTAGTTTCAGGCAGTTTATTAAAGTTAATACTAACCTAAAAAAGTTGGTTTGACTAGCTTAATGACGAAAGTTAACCTTTTTTGACATCGTCAATTTAAAACTGCTTCATTAATAATTAACATTGAACATGTACCTTTGGCAGATTTTGTAACCAAAGAGTTGTCCAAAAAGTATAATACTTTTTTTTATAATACTTAGCATGTTGTATGGCCACCCTTAACCATGGTAGCCAGTGAAGTGAAGCTAGACAAACTAATAATGATGTTTGTAAAGTGTACTTTTACAGTACAGTGAGTCAGTGACACTTCAACATTCGTAACTGACACTAGTCTAGCTCTCTAATGCATCTAAAGTGGCTTCAAATACCGTTTCAAAGGGCCTCTTATGAGTAAAACATGTCGTGGAGCAGTAAATAACCTTATTGTTAAAATCCTGGTCCCTTTTTTGGTGTTTTTGCGAAAAAGGCAGGTTGTTTTTAAGCTAACAGTTTATGGTAACCTGTTTCGACATGACCCAGTTTTACTGCAATGTGTGCACCCAACAGAGGGCGACACATTGCTGTAAAACAGTTTATAAAATAAAGATTAAAGGGATTTGTACATTATTATACTATAGATGAGATCAATTTACAGTATTAGAAAAATGTTAATTCCACACGTTCTAAGGAGGAAGCAAAATACAGGCAGTAAACCAAAAACCATACAATAATCTGCAGCAGGAAAATAATGATTTAAAAGAATCCATTCCCTAATCAATAAAAACTGAAAAGTGAATGTATCAGTTGTGTAGATGTTTCTTAAATGTGCTGCTCTGCTGGTTTGTATATACAAATGAAAACATCTGGGCTTTTGATGTTCAATTGTTATTTAATGGATCATTATCAATCGGGCATTTGTCTCATTTTTCTCACATTGTATTGGCCAATTAATGTGATCACTAGTTGCAGTTGTAAATATAACCAAAGTACTCTTAAAATAGCAAAAAACAGACATTTAAAGAATAATAACACAAGACAAATAGAATGATATGAATTACTACTAAAGTCCTGAGATGTGAAAGCACCTCTTGCTGCACATTTGAAATGTTGGCTTATCTCTCTTTCAATTTTGGAAGCATATTCATGATTTAATTTGTATTCATTCTACAGTGAAGCAACATGGCGAACGGGCACGTGAAGATCCACGACGTGTTTAACAACCACACCGGCCTGAACAGCAGTATTAACTGTGACGCTACCTCAGACTCAGACGACATGGAGGACTCGGTGGAGCTCAGGATACTCAGGGCCTACTTCAACAAGAGACAGCCAAAAAGAACTTCATCTGCACAGCACAGACAGACTCTAGTAACGGGGGGCACAGACGATAACAAACTCTCTCCTCAAAGTGAAATACAGGAGAAGAAGAAGAAGAAGAAGAAGAGGAGGAATCTTTTCCCCAAACTTCTTAGCTGTATCAGATCTGGAAAACGAGAAAGAAAAGAGCCATACAATACGAGGCCTGATGATGGCGCGGAATTTCGTTCTTTAGATCCCCGTAAGTATGAAGCTACAGCCCCAGATTACTCCACTACATCTCCTGCATGATCGGAAGGGCTCAATCTAACAGTTGATGTTGTTTAATGATTCATTTGAACAATAATCTTGACAGAAGAAAGTTCAAATATGTCTTAAAAATAACTATGAAAGTCTAAAGCTCTGGAGGTTTCAGGGGTATACTTTTAATACATAATACTTGGGATATTTAAAACTACAATAAAAATAAATTGTATTTCTAAGTAGCTTTCTAGAGTCCCAAAGACTCTTGACAAAACCAGATAAGTCCATACAATTTAAGATGCCACTGGAAATACAATTATGAAAAAGTACAATGGCAAACCGCAAGTCAAGACGAAACTGTATTTAAAAGGAGCATGAAACTGTTCCCATCCCAATTATTCTTTGACTCTTGCCAAGTCATCTTGTTTTGTTCTTTTGCCAAATTAAAAATATCCGTTTATTCAAATGAAGTCAAGGCGTTTAAATGTCGGTGTAAACATGCAGCCACATGTTCCGCTCATCAGAAGCCAACCTCCTATCCATCCCCACCCGCACCAATGACCGGACCTGGGGGGACCGAGCCTTCTCCGTCGCTGCCCCCTCCCTCTGGAACTCACTCCCCCAACCCATCAGAGACTGCACTGACCTCACCACCTTCAAAACACTTACAAAAACTCACCTCTTCAATCTGGCTTTTAATGTGTGATTATTTTTGTATTATTTGACTTTAACTATATATTTATTTGTTGTTCCTTTCTTTTCTTTTCACTATATCTGTAAAGCGTCTTTGAGCACCTGTAAAAGTGCTAACAAATCAAATCTATTATTATTATTATGTTCTTCCTGATCCTTCCCCCAGCAGGCTCTGAGTCAGACCTCGTGGCTTCTCCCTAAAGTAACAGTTGGTCGTTTTGGGGATTTCTTTTCAGGATGATTTGTTTTATTCTTTGGAAAAGAAAGAAACAGAAACCGGCTCGGACTTGTTACGTGTGCTTATTCTCTCGTGCTAATTTAGTATTTGTCTGTTTATTATTTATTTCAACTATAGGTGAGGTTGTGATGTTTGACCTAGTGGAAAAAGAGGAGGATGATCTTAAAGATGTAGAGGTAGCGAGCAGACTGACAGACATCGCTGATGAGATCCCGTTCCTTCTTCCTGATATAGAGACAGACGCGGCCGAAGGTGAGTTTCGGATTCAGCCCTTCAGAATAAAAGTCTTTCAGAGAAATACCAGGCCTACTGCAATTTGACGTTCTTCTCCAAACCTCTTATTTCCACCTGATGAATGCTTCTAAATCACCTGCAGATGTAAACCTACAATGGAGCGAAGATCATCCCCTTAATGAAGTCACTGTTTCAAACACACTCAAGAGACTGTTCACCATAACCAGCCTCCCTCAACACATCAGAAACATTCTCTGACATATATGATTTGATCAATTGTTTGAATTAAATACAGGCAATTATGCTTTACATGGCCTTTTAGTGTTTACAATGTGCTGGGTTTGATCAAAGCTGGAGAAAGTGTTGGTGATTTTGTAGTAATGAGGTATTTGTTATCTTCTTAGACGTGATTGTTAATCATGCGTCTTGTTTCCTAGATGAGAACGTGGAGAGGATAATCGGCCTGCTGCTCAGGGAGTCTGGAGACCGACTGGACGAGAGAGTAAGAAACAACTTTTACAGATATCTAAAGTTTCCCTTTTCAATGTTCTTATAGGAAACTTTTTCACAGCAAAATGTGGAAGTCGTTCATGTTTGTAATGCGTTTTTATTGTTCATGTTTCTTGAGCCAATTTGGTCAAATTTGTGTTAAAAAAAACATATTTCAGTGTGTTAAATGCAGATCAGTTTTCTCCTCAGTGTTCGTTGAGTCCTAACCTAAATAAATGGTTTCTTGTCTCCACCAGGAGCTGAAAGGTTCTGGTCTATCCCTAGAACTTTTTTCGGACTATAACTTCTTTAGGAAGCTAATGCAGACGCTTCTCATGAGGATGGGCCTCAGGAGCCCCGACCCAGACTCCCCGGGGCCAAAAGCATCTCCCAAAACACAGATCGCTGTCACCTGTGAGGTGAGGACAACGTTAATGTTTTATCAAAATGGTTTAAAGGGATAGTTTGAATCTTTTGAAGTGGGGTTGTATGAGTTATTTAGCTTCATCAGTGTATTACCTACAGTAGAGGAGATGGAGGAATGTAACAGATGTAAAGCCACCAGACTCTTTTGAGAAAAGCAGTCATTTGACCTCCCAGAATAGGGGTTTGCTTGTCTCAGTCGTTTAGTTTTTGTTATTGTATGACTTTGGTGAATTTGAAATAACCAATTTGAAACCCTAAAATCACACAAACAAGGAACCAGTAGATCAACCGTTTCCGTGTTCTGAGAGGTTAAATTACTGGGTTTTTTCAATGGACATTGGACACTTTGAAGGGAGCATCAATAATGACTTTAGTTTGAGGTGAAGTTGTAAAAATATTCTTCATAAAACGTACAATTATATTGATGTTTTTAGTCTAAAACATGATCTGATGCGTCCACAGCAGTACATTGCTTTTATTCCTGCTGGTTCTCGTGTCTGTTTCTCCAAACTGGGACACGCTGAACTTAAATCACCTCATACAAACCTACCTAACTATCCCTTTTTAAGTGAAAAGCTTTGCCTAACTGACCAACATGTAAATGTATTATCTTTTTAAATCTATAAACATGACGTATACTGCACGCCTGTCTGTCAGGGGAGAGGGATCCTCCTCTGCTGCCCTCCCCAGGGTTTCTTCCATTTTGATTGGCTAACAGTTGAAGTTGTTTGTGTTCCCCGCAGGCCACCACCCGTCTGTCAGCGCTCCACACACTGCCCACGAACCGACTGTTGGGCCACGGAGCCAGATATCTGCAGCAGTATTATTCCTCCTGGGCCCAGCAGCAGGGCGGATATGTAAGCAACACACCACCTGTTGATATCATTTAAAACAATTAGTTTGACCTACAACTCTTTCAATATCTGTATTTCCCCTCTTTCACAGGAGGAAGCCTTTCACACTGACGATGAGGAGGACATCGAGTGAACAGAACATTCTCTAAAACATGCAAAAGGACTCAAATCAGACTCGGGAAACATCTGTATTATTCTGCCACTTCAACTAACATGCAAATAAAGCCCAGAGCATTAACGTATCCGCAGCTGCAGGCATTAGAATAATATATAATTGTGTTATTCTGGGATTAAAAGCACACATATTTGTATTGTTCAAGTTTTTCAACAAACTTTAGCCAAACACAAAACTATTTTCCTGCCATTGATAATTACCGTTGTTTGCGATTTAAGTGTTATTTTGTAAACAATGTGTTATTCAGGGAGATAAAGGGTAACTAGCAATTTTAAATTAGAACTATTTATGCTGTTGTATTTACCTAAGACAATGACATTTTGTAGCATTTGCACTTTTTTATAAAAAATGAATGTTTTTAAGAGTTTCTGAGGGATGCACAATGTGGGTTATCTGTAATTGTTCCTGGTATTGTTTACGGCATTTCAGGTTTTAATTGTTTTACTTATGTCAAAAGGTGCCAAAGAAACTTATGTACTGTCAGAATTACGCATGAATGCTAATGTACATGACTTGAAATAAACTGTTCATTGTAATTCAATCTCAGTTTATATCAAGGTGTCCTTTCTTCCTTTTTTAACTCCTTAAATTAAGTTTTTATTTTTTGTAACTTTAACTTTTATCAATTAACGAACAGTAAATTAAGACCATTTAATATCACAACATAGTAATATATATTTATGTCAAAAGTAACCAATTAATATGACAGATAAGTACTGCAAGGGTCAATAAACAAAATATGTTTGAGGATCTCTCATATGATTTACTGAATTGTTAGAATCATCCTCCTGTGCAGGGTACAGTATGTAATAACTTGACGTGCTGTTACTTTATTATAATTACACATTCCTATGCAGAGACACGCTCTTGCTAAATAAAGTGAAAATGGCGCCACATTGTGGTCAAACTAGAAAGTGCAAATTCCACTTCCACTCCACTTTTGTAATCATTTATTTTTTGTCTTCATACTGTTCCAATACGTTGCCCAACGAGACGTTATTTGTATTGAGTTTTGATCAATATCTAAATAAACTGTAAAGCACCTTGCTCCAATTATATCCCAACTTTAAGACGTGTACACGGGAAGTTATTTTTGGCCAATGTTGCAGAGGAAGCAACAGGTATCAAAAATAATATTTGTAAGTTAATCACATGTGGGCTTGTAATGGATCAAATGTTTTCCGAATTAAAGATAATATTCATATAAATAGAGTGAGAATTGTAATCAAGATTGTAAAGAGTACACGCCTCTTGAAAAAAATATAATCTTTAAATCTGCATTTCTTTGAACTGAGTTTGGCATGCTGTCCTTACTAGAACAAGCTGTTTTGACACCTCGCTCTGTGAAATGAGATCCAACCCGTTCCGCCGCTCGCGCTCACCGCCTCAACCTGCTCACCCGCAACAATTACCAGCGCCAGGAGGACACGTTCGGTGTCACCGGTGACGTCTCACCTGTCGGTCTGTCAAGCAGCTACTCACACCTCCACCGGGCAGCAGAGCAGGAGGAGTGTGCGTGATGTTTAACGTCGTGCACCAGGTTCGGAAGTACGTCCCCACGCGCTCCTCGGTCACGGAGGACATCCCCGTGCGGACTGTGCAGGTGAACAAATCCCTCGGGACGCTGCGCGAAGCACCGGAGGCTACCTGGCCGCCCCCGGGCGCTAAAATACGGATATCCAAGGCCAACAAGGGCGCGGCGGTGCGAGCCGTCCGGCGGCACCCGCCGTCCCCGCAGGCGGCCAGCCTGGAGAGCCTGGAGGCGGCTTGGAGCGAGAGGGCGACCCCGGAGGTGAAGCCACCGGAGAGGAGCCCCGAGGTGAGGAACGGAGACCCAGCCGGGATGGAAGGTGGAGGAGGGCCTCCCCGGGTCAGGAAGAAGGGGTTCAGACCCCCGGATGTGAGGACCATCTTCTCCCCCGGAGAGAGGGACCCCAGGGTGGAAGAGGAGTCCGGGGAGGGACACATCTTCGAGTCCGAAGGAGAGGACACCTGGTGTGATGTGTGCTGCCGCTACATCTTCCAGCGAGGGCTCACATGTGCAAGTAAGCGAGGGGGTGTGGGGGGTACTGTGGACTCTTATGGCGAAGAGCCCCTTCAGAGGAAGACTAAGTGTTTAATGAACAGACATATTGGAGGTTAAGCTTGAATGAACATGTAATATTCAGTGGCTTTTTCATGACTCAATTCTAACACAAACTCCTTCTAACTTTCTTTCAAATGTGCATCTTAAGCAACAACATTTTTGCATAATAATCATTTTTTAAAAGTATTTTGTTCCTCCAGCTGTATAGATTGTATTTAACCAATACATGTCAGCTTTAGTTCTTTTCCATTTTATATCACTGTAGAATCAAATGTACTGTCTGTCAAAGCAGCAGAAATTGTTATTTGTCTCAACTCAAATGTATTTAAAACATATACATAAAGAACAACAAAGTAACAGATAGCATATCCCACATCACGGAAACAAACTATAAATACATTACACCCCATGAATGTAGAATACAATTCAAATGACGTTTGTCAAAAGCAATAGCATCAGATAAGTACAAGTCACAGTAGAAAATAATGGTTTTCTGGAAAATATTATACTTTTATGAAAGTATAACGGAAGTGTTTCGGGGTTTAATGATTCAGAGAGGTTCTTCGCCTTGCTACAAAGTCACATTGCCATTATCTTTCCTCCCAGACCTTTTAAGGAAAGAAAAAATCATTTGAAAAAGTTATTCTCAAAATGTTTTGGTATCAGCCTGTGTGTGTGTGTGTGTGTGTGTGTGTGTGTGTGTGTGTGTGTGTGTGTGTGTGTGTGTGTGTGTTGTGTGTGTGTGTGTGTGTGTGTGTTGTGTGTGTGTGTGTGTGTGTGTGTGTGTGTGTGTGTGTGTGTGTGTGTGTGTGTGTGTGTGTGTGTGTGTGTGTGTGTGTGTGTGTGTGTGTTGTGTGTGTGTGCTGTGTGTGTGTGTGTGTGTGTGTGTGTGTGTGTGTGTGTGTGTGTGTGTCGTGTGTGTGTGTGTGTGTGTGTGTGTGTGTGTGTGTGTGTGTGTGTGTGTGGGCCGCGTGTGTGGGCAGAGTGTGTGGGCAGGGCTCTGCAGCAGGAATGCAGTTTGTTATGCAGACCGACTGGTTTCTGATCTAAATCAAAGCGAGCCACGATGTCTCCTCAAGTCAACCTGGACCTCCCTCTGTGTCCACTTCTGATGCAAACAATAGAAAGAGGAAACTCAGAGGAATGTGAGGCGGCCATTGTGCTTCTGGGAGTGTTGAAACTAAAAGCTTAGTCGAAGACAAAGAGTTTTATTACTCTACATTATCAAAAGCTTTATTGTCACATGCAACAGCTATAGCTTAAAATCGTAGTTCCTCTAAAAAAGCAACATACCGAATATTTAAGGCATAAAAAGATATAAAATAGTGCAAGAAGAACAAAAATGTGCAAGAAATCAAATACATTTTATAATAATGCCTGAAAAAGGACATTATAATTTTTGTTTTGTTAAAATCTATTTTATCACATTTTAATAATATGAATGTGTGGACAAGTAGACAAACCAACAAATTAGCAGGTCCAAATTTCATTTAAAGACAAATATATATTTATTTACTGTAATATTTTAGTCCTAAACACACAAAACATTCAGCAACAATGCATCAGGTCAGGCAGAAAACAAAGTATCTTCTGACTCTGCCTTCGTCCTTTTAACCTTTTAAATTGTGTTTACAGACAATATTCCTAATGAGCTCTCTGTTTCCACCTGACTGTGTATAAAGTGTTAAGGCTCATTTAAAATGCAGGAAGCTCAGCAAAGTCCATTACTCCTTCTTTATGATATAAACCTTCCAATAAGTACAAAAGAGTGTATATTCTTTCTGAGAAAATGTGTAGAGGTGAAGCATTGCTCTGCGGAGGAGAGCTGGCTCACTTATTAACGCAGAAACAGTCACTTATAAATCACAGGAAACAGAGAGTCAGTTATTCCTTTTAACAATTAATTTAAGCTGCAGAGAGCTTTTTGGGGGGGTTTCACAACATTGTCATATATTCAATAGCCTTAACAATTGTTTAAATACACTCACGTGAGTTTCCATGAACTTATAATGACTAATTATACGTTTCTTTAATACTAAGCATACCATTGCTTTTATATAACAACACTGAATAATTGACCTATCCTCTCAATTAGTTATGATGTCAAAACATACTGTTCATTGCACATACTAGTAGGACCAGTTTACACGATACATGTCGTTTTTTCTTTTCTTAAGATAGTATTTCTGGCCTTTTTCAGACTTACATTTTCATGATTTTCACTGTGGAATTCCTTAATTACAGTGACGTAAAAAATTAAACGACATTTGGATATTGATTTTGAGAGTTTAAGATAATAATCTAATAACAAACTAATATTTTGGTTGGTCAGAATATTAATACGGTTTCTTGTAATATTTTACACAAAAAATAAATGTGCTTTAGTGTTTGGTGCATATACAGTATACAATAGGAGGAAGAAAATAAAGTTGCATCAAGTATTTAACTAAGTTCAAGTAGTAACTTATCATCTTCTGCCGATCAAATGAGCTATTAGCATTCACATTGTTTAAGCTGTACTTGTTATTTTTATGTTTGGGGAACAAAAATCTTCATTTGTAAAGAAAATGTAGCTGTCATATGTAGAAATGTGAAACATGTCGTTTTACTTCAGAGTAAATGAATGCCTCTCAAAGTGGGTCAGATGAGACTCGATAAAGAAACGTCCGCTCTGTCTCTCATCAAGATGAAGTAACAGAAACCTCAGAGATCTTTGTCTGATGGGTTTACTGTTGCAGTGTGTGTGTGTGTGTGTGTGTGTGTGTGTGTGTGTGTGTGTGTGTTGTGTGTGTGTGTGTGTGGTGTTGTGTGTGTGTGTGTGTGTGTGTGTGTGTGTGTGTGTGTGTGTGTGTGTGTGTGTGTGTTGTGTGTGTGTTGTGTGTGTGTGTGTGTGTGTGGTGTGTGTGTGTGTGTGTGTGTGTGCGTGTGTGCGCGTGTGTGTGTAGTATAACGTTTTTGTTGATCTTTATACTTAGAATTGTACTTTATTAGGATTAAAAGTGCAGGATACCTGTAACAGGTAACACAGAGTATTTCTACGCGGCAGTACTTTTATCAACAACTGAATACTTAAACTGGAAAAAATGCATGTGTGCTTGATCGTAATGATTAAAAAACAGATAAAAGCAGAAAGTGTTGGAAGTACTGTTAGGGTTGTCACGCCATTGTACGGGGATCTCCTTTTATTTTAATGAGATGTCAAAATCTGAAAAAACAGCACTAAAAAAATCTGAATAATTACCTTATTTTTGTACTGTTGAGTTATTTAGGCTATACAATGTAATGGTTGCTCATACTCACGTGTGAGCTTTTATTAAGGATTATTAGTTTAGTTCTAAATGTCACATGTTCATCATTTTATTCAAATAATGAAATAATTGTAATGATTTTATAGTAAAATTCGAGCTTCTTGTGTCTTAAAACCATTTTTTATTTTGGTTAAATAACCCAAAAATAAAAGGAAGACTGAATATTATCTGAATTATCTCAACATAAATATTAAATGAAATTAAGAATAAAAACAAATTGATGAAGAAGATCAGATGCAATTACTGTTATTTGACAAATACTTTATCCCAAACTGGGTCAATTTTTAACGCAGATAATTTGAGTGTCTCCATATACTGTATGTAGAGAAAGAGAGTTTCACATTGTGATTTATCAAAGGATCATTTTAAACCATTGTGCAAAATACTGGATGGGTGGGTGTGTGTGTGTGTGTGTCATCAGCTGCCACAGATGAGTGTGTGTTGTCTTTGGAGCCAAACTGCCACAGCGACTGAACAAACGGAGGTGTGGGGGGGGGGGGCAGACAGAGGGTCAGAGTGAGACCGGAGCAGAGACCATCACAGTGACAGGGAGGAAGGTTTCAGACCTACATGGAGTCAAATCTGGATTTAAATCAGGTATTCGGATTCTGTAGGAGCAGAAAACACTTTAAAAAGTGTGTGTGTGTGTTTGAGCTATGGGCTTTGCTAAAAAGTTCGACAAAACTTTGAGGAGGGTGTCAGGATTTTTCTATCGGTTTCCTAAAGTGATGCGGCGCTCCGGACGTCTGGAAGTCGGTCTGCTGTGGAGGAGCTCCGGTGAGTCCTCCATTAATCCCATCGTCCATGAGTTATTATCAATTCATCTTTATTGTTTCAGTCTAGAAATGGACAGAAAATATTGATTAGTGTTTCCCAAAAACCAGGATGACGTCCTCATATGTCCACAACTCAAATATATCACATTTACTAAGCTGGAATCAGAGTAATTTGACATTACAAATTCTGCTCAATTGTTACATTTTTAAATATTCTTTTAAAAAAAATCCTCAAACGTATTTAATCGTCGACGGTTACTTTGATATTTGCCACATTGAAAATGTAATCTTTGGAACACCAGTTTTAACCATATTAAAAAGGTAAAGTTGTGAAGTGTTATGATTCTTGATCTTTCTTTAAAAACTATTCAAACGTATGAAATAGTTGGCAGTTATTTTAAAAGACTATTTTTATTTGTATTCATCTAGACAAATTGCTCTGTGCAGCTTCAGTTTTAACATTATTTATCCTCAAAAAAATACTTATTCATTATTTAAAAACTGTGATTTAATAGTTTACCAATTGAATCTCTGCATCTCTCATCCTGAGTGTGTTCAGGAAATAATATTGGGCTAAACTTCTCTTTAATCAGCAGCTTTTTTAAATACTTTCTGTGATAGGAAACAAAGACATGAACCTGTTGACTGTAAACTGAGCTGGACTTGTGTTCTGTTGCAGCAGGAAACAAACAAACATCAGATTAAGGATGAAATTATGAAAACACTCAGAGGTTCAAGTAGATCTGCTTTGTTATATTTGATGAAAATGATTATAATCAGTAAACAAAACCTGCATCTAAGTCCAGGATCTCACATATTGCACTCATTTTGTCTGCAGCTAAGACTAAGTCAAGTCAAAGTAAAGAAGTAAAAAGAAAGAACATTTTAGCATTTAAAAGAAACAGAAAAGAACAGATGGTCGCTGTATTCAGCACACACCTGTTCTCACACACACACACACACCCACACACACACACACACACACACACACACACACACACACACACACACACATGTACACAAACACCCCTGTCATACAGTAGAATGTTGTTATAATTTACTCGTAATTACAAACTGCATGGATGCTAAACACAATCATTTGTCAGCAGAGTTTTTGCTATTAAATAACTTTTCGTGATTCCACAAAATTACAAAAAAAGAATTATACTCAATGCTTAAATTAATAAATGTCTCAGCATCAACCCAGTATTTACTTTCATCCGCCATGTTATCCAGAAATTAAATTTGTTCTGATTATTCCAACACCACATGAATGCAGCATCATGCCTGGTCGACTGCTCTGTAAACAGGATGCTGTAACGTGGCACCCAAAGGTAGAACATAATGTGTTTTATAAGTGAGTCACTATAATAACCTATACCTAACAAACTTTCAACTCATAGATCTGTTATTTGAATTGACACTTTATAGCTGATTATTCATATAAAACAACACATATCCCCGAAGTTGTCGTACGATTTTACATTTCAAACCTCAAAAATCCTCTCTTTTCTTTGACCGAGCCTCTGGATCACACTACCTTTAGGGGTCTGGCTTTGACCTTTGACCTCAGGGCAGCGGGGTGAAGCAGTGTGTGTTTCAGCAGGTGTGTGTTGAAGTAGCTAACGGCTCATTGTGTTTCCCTCTGCACACACAGACCTGATTAGAGTTCCTGTGCCAAAAATAAAAAAGAGTTTCACACACAGGAGAAAGAAAACTGAGTCTGCCCAGTCTGTGAATCCTGACCTCTGACCTCTGAGCTGAAGTCCTTCACAGTAAGAGTGCTGTGTGTCGTGGCACAGATCAAGTCTGGTTTTCTGGCTCCTCAGGCAATTTGTAAATCCACCAGAACTTAATAGAAACCACTTTAGTTTCATACGATCGTACTCATCAAATAGCAACACATATATGTTTAACACACAATACATTCAGTTTGAAAAGCACAAAAAACGAACTAGTTTTAACAACAAAATTGACTAATTTCAAACTGATTCTCAGGATTGTATATTTTTTAGCACTTTTAGTTTTTCTAATGTTATTTGTCTATTCTATTCAAACATCACTAAAATCACTCTTTACTCATTTGTATGGAAGATGTTATACAAACTGTACATGAAATCTCTACAGTAGAAGCATGAGAGGTTAAAGAGTTTGTGTCCGACTGTCCTCTGATTGAGTGGGATCGATTGTGGGAGTCTGGGAAAAGCTTTTAGCCCTGAGACAGCAGAGAGAGGGGGAGAAAGGGGGAGACAGAGAGGAAGAGAAGAGGGAATAAAGCAACAGAAATAAAGGCAAGGAGGACGAAGAACAAACATTATTTTAAATAAGGTAGTACTGTAATCTTTCTGAGATTCCTGATGTTGCGTTCAGAAAACAGGAACAATCAGCATACATTCTGCAGGGATTAGTCAGATTCATTAACTCAAATGAAAGTAGTATGTCGACAATGTAAAAATACAATCAATACAAAAAATCAAGACAACACAGTGCCAAAAGTAAAAGAACGTATAGTGCGGAATGGCTGCTGTCAGTTTTACTTACGTGAGTTTACATATCTTTGTTGTTACGTCGTTAAAATATTTCTCTACAAAATAAAATATGCATGATGGGATGGATTAATGTAGACGGGTGCTGCTGTGGATCAAGTTCATTGTGAAGAGGATGAATGGAGTCAGGAAACTGGGGAGACACAGAGAGATAACACACTACGTAACACAGAGAGAGAGAGAGAGTATAACTGAGTCAGCAGTCCCCCCCCCTCCTGTGTGTGTGTCCATCACTGCGGCCTCCATTTGACTGTTAAATCCCCACTCAGCACAACACACACACACACACACTCTGAAACAGAGAGAGAAGGCTCCACGCAAGTCAGCATCAGGAGTCTGATGTGCAGCAGAAACGCCCGAGAGACTCTGAGGAACACTGCAGGGAGAGAGAGGGGTTTACTCCTGAGTGTGTGTGGGCGAAGTTGTGTGTGAGCGGAGGATGTGTGTGTGAGATGAAGATGGGAGATGGGAGCGGCCATGTGCAAACTGTCGGATAAAGTGGGACAGCACGTGAAAAATAGGTCACCAGGTAGGGAACGAGGAGAGAGTTTCATAGTGGTGTGTGTGTGTTTGTTTTGTGTGTGTGTGTGTGTGTGTGTGTGTGTGTTTGCCAGTTTTGGAATGTAACTACATACATTTACTTGTTGTAAGTGTTGTAAACTTGAGGTACTATTCTCTCTTCATTTAACTTAATACTTCTTCTTCTCTTAAATTCAAAGGGACATTTTTTGACTGACATTTAGTTATCAACCAAACTAGACAAAAGTGTGTACCAGAACAACTTGGTCAACTAATCAAATAGCATATTTTGAGAGAATTATTTAGCATTATTAAACATTTAACATGTTGCTCTCACATTTTCAATAGGGGATTTTTATTATAACTTTGTATATTTTACAGTTATGAGTACTTTTACATTAGCCATTGATCTGTGTACTCTTACAAGTGTGTTTGCAGCTCTGATATGTTTGTACTTATAACTAAGTTAAAAAGAAAGAAAATAATAGGACACACACTAGTCTGTCAGTTTGCAGTACTTACTTTGTTTGTATTTTCTCTTACTATGTTTGTTGTGAACATTATAACCACAAATATATGTGAAAAGCTTCTTAAAACTAATTCTAAATACTATAGGAATTCATTAAAAAAACGTTCACATTTTAAATCTCAGTATTTAATGTTGTGTATCACATCCTGAGTGACTTTATTTTGACCCATTTTCCTCCATAAGACAATTTGCATACTGTTGAATCTAATTTGCAAGCTTTATCTCTGACCTCCACTGACATGCTGTGGATATCAGAGGAGTATTTCAATATACGTTACACACACTTTTCATACACACCTGCCTGTGCTTCATTGAAACCACTTCCTGTCTTTCATGGATCACTTCCTGTCTCTGCAGGGTGTAAGTACGCGTGTCACGCTGCCTGTCGGGACCGAGTGTCACTGGACTGTCATCCTGCAGCTTCTCCCTTCAGCCAGGACCAGCTCAACAACAACAACACACTGCTGCAAGTGAGTACACACTGCACTGGGAGTGTGTGTGTGTGTGTGTGTGTGTGTGTGTGTGTGTGTGTGTGTGTGTGTGTGTGTGTGTGTGTGTGTGTGTGTGTGTGTGTGTGTGTGTGTGTGTGTGTGTGTGTGTGTGTGTGTGTGTGTGTGTGTGTGTGTGTGTGTGTGTGTGTGTGTGTGGTGTGTGTGTGGTGTGTGTGTGTGTGTGTGTGAGAGAGAGAGATTTTTGAAACCACTTTTATTCACAAAGCAAATAACCAAACAGACACATTGTCAGTTCAGACAACGACTGAAAATAAGATCCTCATTCTCCACAGAACACAAAGCATTTTTAAAGCACCACATGGCCTCAAATTCTCCCACATTTTTTGTTAAGCAAAAGTAACCGTAGTCCGCTTTCAGTCTTGCTTTAACCATCCGCTTGAAAATCGAGACTGCATCGGTATCCAAAGATCCCGCAACTTTATTCCTCCTGCTGAGGTAAATGGCCATTTTAGCCTGCGCCAACAAAAAATTCAAAAGCTGACTTTTGCACTTTTGCTTCTGGCTGTACCTACAACCCAAAATGAACATTGACTTAGAAAAAACCACATTAAACAAAATCAACATCTGAGTGAGTAACTGAAAAAGACAAAGGAGTCGACCACATTCTGTAAAACAATGAAAAATGGTTTCCCTCTGTTCACAGAAAGGACAGGCGTCAGACACTGTAGGGTTGATCACTGAAACAAATGCATTAACAGCTACCGCAGCATGGAGAATCCTCCACTGGAGGTCCCCACCCCTCTTAGTCAGCGGAGGCTTGTAGAGCGCTCTCCACTCAGGCCTCTGAGCCTCCGTCAGGCCCAGGTGGGCTCTCCACCGGGTGTCCACTCGCTCTTGGAGTCTGCTCTGATTCAGCACCTTTGTCACCAAATAATAAAATGTTTTGTTGGACATGGTGCTAAACTTAAAATCAGTAACATTGTCCAACTTTAACAAAAACCCCTCACAACTGAGATCAGGAAAACATTGCATCTCTGGAAAAGAGTCATTGTCATTTGGAGACTTCAGTCCGTTACAGTGAGCAGCGATCAGCGCCAGCTCTGACTGGCTGAGCTGCTGCTTCCAGCTCTGCAGCAGGAGGCTGACCACCCGGACTGACCTGAGGCTCAGACGTGAGGCCAGGCCTGCAGCGTTGTCCAGACGGGGGCCACACACCTCCACCACCTGGCCCAGCGTGAGGATCCTCTCCTCACAGAGTCTCTGTTGTAGAGAAGGCCCCACTCCACACACAAAACGAGATCCACGGACCACCGGCTCTCTGAGGAGCCAGAACAGTGAGCCACAGCACTCTGGTCTCTCTTTTTTTAGTAGTCCCCACACCTTGAAGAGACCTCCATAGAAACCCGAGAGATTGTTCAGGCGTAATCCTTTCAGGTCCATTAGGAACAGCGACTCAGCCAGACCCAGCCCACCACAGCGCTCCAATAAGGCCCGAGCTACGGGTCTCCAGACCAGGTCAGCAGGTCCAGTCAGGAACCTCTGGACGAACCGGAGCCTGAAGGCCGCCCCTCTGCTTGCCAGGTGAACCAGGCCATGTCCCCCCTCCTCCTTTGGCAGGAACAGGACGCTCTGAGGGACCCAGTGCATGCGGTCCCAGAAGAAGTCCACCATGAGAGCCTGCACCCTGGACAGCAGGTTTACGGGTGGGTCGGTGCACGCCAGCCGGTGAGCCAGCATGGAGGAAACAAGGTTGTTTAAAATAAGGATTCTCCTTTTAAAAGAAAGTTTGGGAAGGATCCACTTCCACTTCTTTAACCGGCCTTCCACTTTCTCTATAAGCCCGTCCCAGTTTTTTCAAACAAAATGTGTCATCACCAAGATAAATACCCAGGTACTTTAACCCTGCCCTTTTCCAACCAAGGCCCCCAGGTAACAACAAGCTGTCAATACTGCCCTCTCCTACTGCTAAGGCCTCACTTTTCCCCCAGTTGACTCGAGCAGATGAGATTTTGCAAAAATTGCTCACAGTTTCAGTTAAAACATTGATGTCATCTTGTTTTTTAACAAAGACCATTATGTCATCCGCATACGCAGACAATTTAAAAACATCCCTACAGCCAGGAAAAGAAAAACCCTGTAACTTTGACCTTAACCGGTGTAAAAAGGGCTCTATGGCCAGGGAGTAGAGCAGCCCTGTCGGACTCCTCTCTGAGCTTCAAAAGGAGCACACAAACTACCGTTTATCTTCAGTACACTCTCAATGTCCCTGTACAAGACCTGGATCTTGGCTATGAGACCAGAGCTGAACCCAAAAGCTTCCAGCGTCTGCCACAAGTACTGGTGTTCAACTCGGTCAAAAGCCTTTTCTTGGTCTAGAGAAATCAGACCAAGCTCACAGCCCAATGAACCGGAGAGGTCCAAAACATCTCGAATTAGAGTCACGTTGTCAGTTATCAACCTGCTGGGTACACAGTATGTCTGGTCTACGTGAATGACATGCTCCATCACTTTTCTCAGCCTCGTCGCTAACACTTTGGAAAGCAGCTTGTAGTCGGTACAGAGTAGAGACACAGGACGCCAGTTCTTAATCTCCTGCAGGTCTCCTTTCTTAGGGAGGAGAGTGAGCACAGCTCTCCTGCAACTCAGAGGCAACCTCCCGTTACTTAGACTGTCTCTGAGCACACTCAGCAGGTCGTCACCTATAACTGGCCAGAGAGCCTTATAGAAGTCTGCAGGCAGGCCGTCTATGCCAGGAGCCTTCCCACTCTGCATGCTCTGCAGGGCCTCCTGCAGCTCCTGGGCAGAGAGCTCCGCCTCCAGCTCAGCATGGTCCTCCTCAGGGACGTTAGGAAGGCCCTCATAGAACGACTGCACCACCTCTGGCTCGGCCTGGAACTCTGTTCTGTAGAGCTCTTTGTAGAACTCCACAGCACACTGACAAATGTCGGCGGACTCCTGAAGCAGCTGCCCAGCATTGGATCGCAGGGAGTGCATCAGCCTCCTCTGACCATTCTTACGCTCGAGACCAAAGAACAAGTGAGAGGGAGCATCCATTTTCACGATGTTCTGAAACCGGGATCTGACCAGAGCACCCTGAGCAGAAAACCCCAGCAGGTCAGACAGAGCTGAGTTTTTACTTTTGAAAACTTCAACATGTTCTCGCTCTCCTGTGGAGTCTGCCAATCCCTGCAGCTCCACCACTTCTCTCTCCAGAGCTCTCAGAGATCTAGCCATGTCCTTTGTGACATTGAAAGTGTACTGCAGGCAAAGCTGCTTGATCTTCCCTTTACCTACATCCCACCACTGCTGAAGAGAATTGTACTCACTCTTAGATAAACGGTAGTTTTCCCAAAAATAATTAAAAAACATTTTTAAAATGGTTGTCGGCCAACAGAGAAGCATTAAAGTGCCAATACGCACTATTACACTTAACATGATTAATAAAAACTGAGACTTGTACGAGGGAATGGTCAGAGATTCCCACTGGACTGATGGAGCAGCTTCTGCTTACATTAATGTGATGGTTAAAAACATAGACACGATCCAGCCTAGCCAGAGACAACAGGTTATCCCTAGAGTGCACCCACGTGTACTGCCGCTGGCCCGGGTGGAAGTGCCTCCAAACATCACACAGCTCAAAACTTTCTGTTAGTCTTATTAAGGCACTCTTCGAGGCAGCATGCGGTTCCTGTTGGTTCCTATCCAGCACAGGGTTCTCTGTGCAGTTGAAGTCACCCCCCAGGAACAGATACTCCCCACTATCACAGGTGCTAAGAGTGTGTTTCAGTTTCTCAAAAAACAAAAGCCTCTCTGCGCCCACACTGGGAGCATAAATATTTATAAAACATATTTTAACTTTTTCAAATTCAGCATTTATTTTGAGCAAGTGTCCTGGGATGACCTCATCGACCGTACAGGAGAAGGGTGTAAAGCCCCTCGCAAAGAGAATGGCAACCCCTCCACTATTGCTGCGCTTATGGCTGAAGCCCTCACCCCCCCATTCCCTCCTCCAGTCACTCTCGTTCTCAGCAGTGCTGTGAGTTTCCTGGAGAAACGTCACATTTAAACTCTTGTTTCCTAATAAAGTAAATAAATATGCTCTCTTATCATCCCCTCGAGCACCGTTAATGTTTAAAGAGCCCAGCTTTATGTCACTCATAATTAAATTATAGTTGCATCCTAACAAAATCAAAAACCTGGCTGAAGAAAAAAAACAAAACAAGATGTATACTTATTCATCATTCTTTGCAGTTTCCCCTCTAATCCTCTGAAGTATCTTCTTTAACCGAGCCTTCTCTGGGCCGCTGAAGAACCCTGGCAGTATTGTGAAAGATCTGCAAATCTGCAAAAAAGTCATCTAATTTCACCCCCCTCCACCCCTTAGTTTCCGCCAGAAAGGATCTGATCCTCTGGAAAGTGTACTCCTCTCCCTTTGCTACCTTAACGATGTCAAAGAATGACTCGCTGTCACTGTCCTCTGAGTCCTCTGAGACTCCCTCTGGCTGAGAGGAGGAACACAGCGACTCCTTCTTTGACACCTTCCCTTTCTGAGCCACACTTCCTTTGCTCACTTGTTCGTTTTTCCTTTTAACAGGTAACCTTAACAAATCCTCATCCATTACCACATCCTCCAGAACAGACTCAGCCACTCTGGCTGCAGTGTGCTCACTATCTGCTTTCTGTGTGACCTGAGTGTCTGTGTGTGTGATACTGTGTACCGGCTGCCTGTGTGATTTCTACGCGTGAAACCGTTGGCTCTGCCACGGACCGACTGACCTGCGGTTCCACCACCGGCGTTTCCGCCGCGGGCGCAGGCCCGGCCGTGGACAAAACAACCGGCAGCGGCTCCGCAGCTGGCGCGGACCCCAGCACCGGCGGCCCGGCCGTGGACAAAGGGACCTGCAGCGGCTCCGCCGCGGGCGCGGACCCCTGCACCGGCGGCCTGGCCGTGGACAAAGCAACCGGCAGCGGCTCCGCAGCTGGCGCGGACCCCAGCACCGGCGGCCCGGCCGTGGACA